CAGATTAGAAGAATAATAAAATTTTTAATTTTGGGGCTTAATTTAGTAAATTGATACACGTGGACAAATTCAACTCCTACACAATCCAGGAAATAACGTTGCACGTGGACAAAAACTAGCATAAGAAAAAGGGACAGAAATGAAGCAGAAAACTAATAATTAGATTCAGAGGCCAAAAAAAGCTACAAAATGTATTGTGCCATGTGAGAGTTCCTTTGTAACTAAATGTAAAACTTGAGCGATGGGTGCTGAGAAGAACAAATACCAGAAAATGGTGAAACATCATCATATACCTAGCCCTATCCATAAATGGAACACGAAAAAAAGTTTGGCCATCAACCATCACCAATATAGCCAAACTAGGAAGATTGAACAAAACGTGACAGAATGTTTTTCTTCAAACCGAACTCGTCTGCTTTCGCTGGGCTTATCGACTGCATCCAATGGAGAAACGACACAACAAGAAATGCAGCAAATTGTCAGCTTTCACTTCAATATCTTAAAACATGTTCAAAGAACTAATGCATCTTGATGATACAGTCCAGAGTTTAGATGTGCACAATTGATATGAATTATTTAAATCTATTATGTACCCTTTGGTAAACAATACAAGGTTACTCTATTGTTTTCTTTCTCTAAAGAGAGTGTCATAAAAATCTGTGCGCACGAGTGAAATGCATTGTTTGGTTCCCATTCAGGAAAATTAACCGAGGAGTTATTCTTAAACTAGAATTGCCAAAAACATACATCCTATGAAGCACGGATACAAACACTCAGACACACAGATCCGATGCGCTAGAACACAGACACAACAATGACACGTTTATTAAAATATACATGTTTTCAAATATATATCAGGAAGAAAATTTAACGTTAATAAGCTTATGCATTTACATGCTCAAAATAAATAAGGAATTTTGATGAATTTCGGTCTCAAAATTTATTATTTTATCCTTTATTACTATTTATGTTTATTTATAGTACTTAACAACTGTTCAAACATGCTAATCACGACACTTCATCCAAACTGAAGTGTCCGTAAATACACCTCTCCACCCCAGTTATGCTCATGTACGGAGCTATATACAAGTATAACGCGACACCAGAGCTTTAAAAATAGGAACTACAAACACAATTTCAAATAAAAATCATAAAAGATATATATATATATATAGGGAGAGGGTAAGAGTTAGACTACCTTCTCGAGCATCCGCTCAATTCTCTCCATCTCAGACTTGGCATAATCACCACCTTTCTCCATACATTTTTTGGCAGATTTCAAGTATATCTTTCCGTAACTGCAGAAGAGTAATCAACAGTTATTATAATAAAGTCTACATAGTCCTGTATCCAATTCCTGGATATGTGATTACTATTGATAATAACGTCTATATAATCCCGTATTCAATTCCTAGATACGCATAAATATAATCTTTTTTGTAAGATAATACAATATGCGGCAGACCATAAACCATTTCTCTTTTTGAATCATTGTAGATGTCACTGTTCACGAGAAATTGAATGACAAAATCAAACAAAAAAATGGTATACCTTGCAGCAGATCCACTGAGCTTTCCAACTTCCTCTTCCATCTTGGCAAAAATATCCTTTTTCTCTTCATTGCCAGCAGCTACAAACTCTTTCACCAGCGATTCCAAACTTGCAACTATACCAGCCTACAAAAAGAATCACATATTTGAGTAAACCATAAAAGAAGAACATAAAATTTAAACATTGTCGGTTGCTAACATTTACTGTAAGGTGTCCTTTTGCATCACGATTGGTCCCAGCTTTTTCATTAATGAAATTAACAAAGTCATCAACATCTCTGCCACCCTCGTAGTCTTCACCATCTTTGTTGCCTTTTGGGAAGAATTTCAAAGTAGGGAAACCACTTATGCCATACCTGTATATAGGAAACTGACCTTTAACATCGACTTGGAGAAAATAAAACATTAATAGACAAAAACCATGGTATAATTAACATTCATGTAATGTGAACTTACTTTTCAGCTAGATCCTTGTATTTGTCAGCATCTAAGTTAGCAATTACTACTTTTTCTTCCAATTTAAATGCTGTAGCCACCTTTTCATATATCTGTAGAGGTATAGTAAAATACGATATTAACCTTTTTATTCATCATAATTTGCCAACAAAAGTATAAGAAGAAAACTGCTTACAGGAGCAAGGTTCTTGCAGTGACCACACCTGAAATTGAGAGTTGATAAGATACTCTGAAATCATAATAAAATAATAAGAAAAAAGGTCAACGAAAATTATATACCAGGGTGCATAAAACTCAACCAGCACATCCTTGCTTGCATCTAGAACAATCTCGTTGAAATTATCAGGTGAAAGCACAACTACACTGGATGGAGTTGAAGCTATCTTCACATTGGTTCCTGGAAGAACAGTAATTGATTAATATAGCAAATCCCAAAGGCCATTAGTTATACCATTAAAACTTAAAAGTACCCTATAAGAAGAGGGGAATTCCCTATATACGGTTTCCTACACCTTTGATTGACTATGATAGTACAAAAAATTAAACCTAGAAACAAATTCATTGAGAAAAATACTATTTGGCATCTGAATAACTTTATGGCAAGTAAGAAGACCCATTCTTTTTGGATAGGTTTGGAAAAAGAGACATAAAGGGCATGACCATTATTCGAGTACAAAATACTATTAAGGTGCATCGTGCATGCTTATGAGCTCTGTGGTTCATATGTAAATCCTGGCACCCTCCAGACCAACACAACAAAGAGTGAAATCCAAGGAAAATGAGCTAACAGTGTCGATAGGGAGAACATTGTCAAATTCAGACCAACCAAATTGTGGATGAAAAAGAATATAATAAAATAGCTCGTTAACATAGGATGCTTCACAAGAATGAACAACTACCTCCTTCGCTATTCACAAACTCGGCAAGGGCTTCTGCTGAACGTTGACCTTCATACCTAAATGAAAGATTGCAAAGTCAAGTTTCAATGAAATAAACCAGTTTTCTGCTAAAAATATAATCTCATGTAATAACATCCTCAGTATTATTTATCAAATAGCTTTCTTACTTTTTTGGTTCAAGTGATCCCTTGGGAAACCATTGAATTGTTGGATATCCAGAGACCCCATATTTGCTACATATGCTCTTGTGCTCATCGCAGTCAACCTGCCCAATATGGTGAAGAATTATCATATTAGCTTTCCATCACAAGCCATGAAAGGGTATCCGAGTAACAAAGGGAAAAAATAGTTCAAAAGCATTTGAAAAACTGGCGGCAGTTTAAGGGAGTATAAATGCTCGCGAAGATGCATTCTTCTTTCCTGTGTGTGCTGGGGATGCGAAGATATTATCCACAGAATATCATTGAAAAAATGAAGAGTACGGAGATATTGTATATAATCTAACGAATACTTAAAAAATAGATATAGAACAATCGGTGAAGAACTGACCTTTCCGATTAAAACAGATTTAGCTTTCTTAAAGCTGCTCCCAAGCTTTTCATATTCCGGCGCAAGCTTCTTACAATGCCCGCACCTATAACCATAACAGGGTAAAGCTTTCATCATTCATATGATCGGGGAAAAGAACTACGATAAATTGGAAACAACCCTCGATGACTACCGATAAATCCCCAAGCACGATAAATACTTTAACATCGCAATTGGGAATCAATCACTACTTTTCTCTTGTCAGTAAGAACTATCACATAAGTGAGCTTCAATAATTGGCGAATCAATACTCGACATAGCATACAGATCCGTCCCACGGCCATCATAAATAATTAAAACAAAAATGACCGACGCGACATAGGAAGAACCCCTGAATAGATATCTAAAAATATTCCCAACAAAAGAAAAGAATTCCGCCATTGATCGTTAACGGATTCCTCTTTATATTCTCTTCCAGCATAAACATACAGATCTACAAGCAAGCGATCAGAAATAACACTATGAACTCCATAACTGAGAATCAAGGATCAGAATGCGAAGTCGACAGATTTTTACCAGGGAGCGTAGAACTCGACTAGAGCTCCTCTATCTTGGCCGACCTCTTTCTCGAAGTTACTCTCTGTCAACACAACTACGTCGTCGGCCACTGCCGATGACAGAATCAAGGCCAATACGGCGAAGGCGAACCAGATCTGATGTTTCGCCATTTTTCGAATTCTCTGAGTTTTCGTGGGAAAAGTTGGGAATTAGATGTTGTAAATATCGGGAAATCGGTAGCTGGTAAAGTTTGACTCGGATAATTGTAGTCTGCAGAACTCGTCAGTTCCTCACCGTACGATGTACTAATGGACCGTCGTTTCGATCTGGTGGCATGATCTGATTGGACGGTTTCTAGGGTTCACGATTCTGATTGTGGGGATTCCCTCACTCAATTTTCTCCCAAAGTATTGACGTGTTTCCTTGACGTGGCTGACTGTGAGAGGCGGAAGTACGTTGAGATCCAGGTGTGGCTTTTCTAAATTTTCTATTTTTTTAATACAAAGGACTTGGGCTTGGGCTTGGAATCTGGCCTCGTGGACCTGAGACCCGTTTTTATTTATGGGCTGAGCTCAATTTTTAACTGGGCTGTCAAAGCCCTATGGCTATTGCTTGGTGCTCTGCGTTTTATATTATCGATTAAATTACCCTTTTGGCCCCTTCGTAATTTCATTTTCTTTTTTTTATGATTTTAGTTCCATATTTTTCTAATGTTTTTAAGTTGATTAATTATGACAATTTTCTCACATATCGCATTTTATAAGAAAAAAATATTTCATCCATCTTAAACATTTATTTATAGCACCAATTTTAAACATATTAAACTATAGAGACCTGGGAACAATACTTTATCTATATATTGATCAATGAGAGTTACTAAGTTTATGATATATGATGTATTGCATTTATATTGATCTATTCCTACTGCATTGATAGATAAACGAATCATTTGAGTCAATAAACACAATAAATATATATATATATATATATATTTTAAATGCAGTTGAAGTTCATATCGACGGATATATATATGTGGGTTATTAAAATGAGAATTAAGGCCTCAATAACAAATTAATTTTTAGTTTTATGCTTTTAAGATTTAAGTTTGTTCAGTATTTTTTCGGCTTTCTTCGTAACACAAGAATTCTCAGCGAAAATTAAAAAACAAAAACAAGTTTTTTGAAGCTACTTTTTTTTGTTTGTTGAGGAAAAACTTGCTTAGAGTTTGAAACGTTTAAAAAATGACGGAAGGAAATAGGTGAAACCTGAAAAGAAAAACTAAAAATAAAATGCTTTTAGGCCAAAATAGTAATTTAACATATATATTAGTTATTTAAGAAATATTATTCAGTCCACAGGCCCTGGAAAAAGCGATGTCCCGCGTGGCAGATTATGATTGGACGAAATTCATTAGGCTCGCGTTGATTGGTCCGTTCGTAAGAAGAACACGTCGCCCAGCGTAGTGACTGGGGAAAGTCGTTCGCTTYGGCATATTTTTGTTTCGTGGAATCGACTCGACGACCAAGTTCTGGGAACGACTCCGGTTCTGAATTCCAGAGAGAGAGAGAGATTCAGGGAGAAACGAGGAAGAAGTTCGTTCGATCTTCGTGAAAATCTAGTAATGTGTTTGGTTGATCTGTGATCGAATCCGCAAACTCTGAATCATTTCCTACAGAGATCCGATTCAACTTTCTGTTTCTTCCACCACTTCACGCACTTCCAGATGGCGCAGCGGAGAACGAAGCTCCTCTTCGTTGTTTGTGCCCTCTGCTACGTTCTTTCCGCCATTGCAGGGTAAATTCCTAGTTAAATGACTGAACAATCATTTCGGTCGGTTTTTGCCGAATGGGCACTGTAGCTTCACAACAATGGCTATTTCATATCGGCTTCTGTGAATTTTTGTTGTATTGTATTCAGGAAGAGTTACTATGATATACTGCAAGTGCCGCGGGGTGCGCCGGACGAGCAGATCAAAAGGGCTTATAGGAAGCTCGCGCTCAAGTACCATCCTGATAAGAACCAGGGAAATGAGGAAGCTAATAAGCGATTTGCGGAGATTAACAATGGTAATTTTTGTTCCTTTTTTTTATCTTTATTTATTTTTTTGAAGATTGTGATACTATATCTTTTTAGGCCTATTTGATAACCATTCGTTCTTTGTTTTCTACTTTTGAAGATTATGCTTGTTTCTTTTTCACAATTTCTATGGTATGTTCGTACATTTTGATTCTTTCGTCAAATATTAAAACAAAAACAAGTTTTTAGAGAAGTTTTCGAAATTTCTTAAATTTTGAAAAAATAGATAACAAAATAGTTGAAGACAGATAACAAAATAGAAACAGGTAGGTGGAGCAGTGTTTATAAGTTAAATTTTAAAAACACAAAACAAATTAAAGAAAACAGATTATCAAATGAGCCTTAGCTTCCCGAATTATTAATTTGGTTTTATGATTATGATTTAGCTTATGAGGTTCTATCCGACGCGGAGAAGAGGAACATATATGATAGGTATGGAGAGGAGGGTCTGAAACAGCATGCTGCTAGTGGAGGTGGAGGTGGAGGGATGGGAATGAACATTCAAGATATTTTTAGCCAGTAAGTTAATTTATCATTGCATGTTGAATCTTCTCCAATTAAGTTGAGGTTCGCATAATCATTACAGCTTTTGATGTTTATTTGGTAAATGAAGCGCATTATTGGTGTAACTGTCTTTATTAAATAGCATGCCTATATGGTGGTTTAGCCATGATCTTCCATCTATAATTTGTCCAATTGAGTTTAGATACGCACTTCCTTGTATTACTTTGGGGGTTATGTAATAGTTTGATTTTAAAATTGACAATATGCGTGAGTACCGAGTAGTGACATTGTAATTTCGAAGGTTTTTTGGTGGAGGAGGAAGTAACATGGAAGAGGAAGAGAAAATTCCAAAAGGTGATGATGTAATTGTGGAATTGGATGCTTCATTAGAAGATCTCTACATGGGTGGTTCATTGAAGGTAAGACATTTTCCTATTGCATTTTACATAATTGCTCAATATTTCCGGGGTAGTATCACATTGTGGGGTGGGAGGTGTTTTCATGCAATTTTTTTTGGAGGAGGGAAACGACTTGGTCTAATTGTCTATTTGCCTAAGGGCCCGATCTCTTATAAACAAGAAAGAAGAATTACATAAAGGGAAGGAAGGGACAACCTCCCTAGCTAGGACTAATTGTCTATTTGCCTAAGGGCCCGATCTCTTACAAACAAGAAAGAAGAATTACATAAAGGGAAGGAAGGGATAACCTCCCTAGCTAGGAAAAGGAGTTACAATAACTCTCCTATTGGCTTTAATGTCAAAGAAAAGGAGTTTGCATCCTGAGAAAGTCAAATTTTGCTGTATGGACACCCTTCTGTTAGGGGGCTTGATAATTGATATCCATGATAGAGTTCAGAAGAAATGCTGTCATCCACGTCTTTCTTTTAATTATTGTGTATTTGTAAACCAGAAATTGAAACTACGGATCACCTTTTCCTAAATTGCCCTCTAAAGCTTTGGATTATAATTTTTTGCATGTTTCATAGATTGGTGTATATGTCTTGCAGGACTTGCAATTATTTTTTCTTTGTTTTATGTGGCCATACTTTAGGAGAAAACAAAGACTGCCTAATGCTATTAGAGCCATTTTATGGGAAATGTGGTTAGAGAAAAAAAAAAAGTTGCAGGCTGTTCTTAGTAGAGGAGAAGGATGTAGGAGTTATGTGATGAGAATCTTTCCTTGATTTGTTTCTATCGAAGAGGACTTCTGCCATTCCTTCAACTTTGTAAATATTTTTACCTTGTAATTTCATTCGATCAAAATCTTATTTTAGCAAACTATTTTCAAAACTGTGCTTCAGATGAAGTTTCTGTCTCCTACGTTCACCATTTAAACCTTGGGCCCCTCCCATCCCAAAGTCATCAATACCTACCACTACCAATAAACGGCTTTGGTCTCTTTCATATTCTCCAAAACATATTTGCTCCTCTGAAACTGTTTTTTCTTTATCTATTCTAATTTCGAAACTTATTGGCTCACACTTTTGGAGCTTCATTCTACCACTCTAATGGTGATGTTCCACTATTTTTTCTTTATTTATGTTTAGAGCTTTCTCCTTGCCTGGTTTGCATTTTGCTTCTTTAATATCTGAAATGTTCAGACTTCCATTGTCTGAAAAATTTGCTAATGGCTGTTATCGGAGACATTGGATTCCAGGTGTGGAGGGAGAAGAACATATTAAAGCCAGCGCCAGGTAAGAGGCGGTGTAATTGTAGAAATGAAGTCTATCACAAGCAGATTGGTCCTGGAATGTTCCAACAGATGACAGAACAAGTATGTGTAGTTGTTTAACTACATTTCTTACAAAAGCAACAAACACTTGTTTACAGATTTAATTTTTCTTGCACTTGCACCCCTTATTTTTCTCTTTTGAGACTGGTGGTTTTTGAAGTTACTGAAGCTTTTATTACGCGCTGCCCTCTCTTACTCTTTCAGGTCTGTGAGAAATGCCCCAATGTTAAATTTGAAAGAGAAGGATATTTCGTTACTGTTGATATTGAGAAAGGGATGCAAGATGGGCAAGTAAGCTACACAAATCTTCTTCTGGAGTGTTCTAGAGAGAGAATGATTAAACATATTGTTTCAAGTTATAATATTGTCTAAACAAGTGTTTCTATAACCTTCGAATYTCTAAGTTTGATTGCACTAACATTCAAATGGATAATATTTGTAAATGTCACCTTTTATGAATAAAGGATCATTTGGTGTTTGTAGGAGGTCACTTTCTATGAAGATGGTGAGCCTATGATAGATGGAGAACCTGGAGATCTAAGAGTTAGTTCTTTTACCATTTATTTAGTTAGTTCCATTGTGATTGTATTTGCTGAAAATTTTGAAAATCATTACTTCATGTTTAACAGTTCCGCATCCGTACCGCACCACATGATGTTTTCAGAAGGGAAAACGATGACTTGCACGCCACTGTCACCATCACTCTGGTAATTTAAATTTTAGGATGCAGACTTAATTTACTGTTCTTATTAGTGTGTGTTTGTGCATCATTCAATTCTTGTGATATCGATAAGACTATGTGTACGTGCCTTTTTGAACTGGCTTTGAGCCATTGATGTTCTGGCCAGTTTCTGAAGATTTTCATGGGTGAAAATCTTTATATTTGGTGGTTTATTTTGGTTTTATAGGCTTTTACAACCCTATGGCTGTTAAACTTTATATTACTTGCATGCATGTTGCTGAGTAAAACTTTTGGGAGTCATGGACATGCTTTCATCCAAATCAAAATGTCAATCTTTTCAAGATGGTTCATCATTTAGGATGCTTGTGATCTGCCTTCCTTTTTGCTGAAATTTCACCCCATTTGACTTCCAACCACACAAATTCGCTTTCCTTGGCGTCTTCTTGAATCTCAAAGTTAATATATTTGAACCACTTCAATTTATTAGGTTCAAGCTCTCGTCGGTTTCGAGAAAACTCTCAAACACCTCGACGAACATTTAGTAGAGATCGGAACAAAGGTAAGCCATCATTCTTATGCATAATACCTTTTACCATCCATCAAGTCCTTTACAGATGAATTCCACTCCAAACTAACTTCTGTTACTTTGATTATTATTTAGGGAATCACAAAGCCCAAAGAAGTTAGGAAGTTCAAAGGAGAGGGCATGCCACTGCATTTCAGCACAAAGAAAGGGGATCTTTATGTCACATTTGAGGTCCTATTTCCCACATCATTAACAGAGGATCAGAAGACAAATATCCAGAAAATTCTGGGTTAGTAGTAGGGCCCATTATATAGATTTTGCAATTTATTTTTTTCCTTTTTTTTTTGTTGTGCTCAAAGAATGTATACCCATTGTAGTAGGCTGTAGCATGTGGAGGATCATTACAAAAATTTGGTATCGCTGAGCCCTGCAGAAGTTTTGATTGATTTATTTAACATGTTATCTATAATCATATTGATCTTTCATATTTTTAGCTGATGCCTCTCTTTTCGGAGAGTTTAGGGCCTCTTTTGGCAAGTAATTTGGATTTTTGGATTTTGTGATCCAAATAGTTAAAATTTTGAAAACAACTTTTCAATACTTTCAGAGAATTTGAAACTTTAAAATCCGTAATTAGATTTAAATTTTGATAAATATACTATTATAGGTAATAAATGGATCAATTTTTTAAAAAAATTTTACAACGTCTAAAATATAATATATTATAAATTATACTAAAATAATAATTTTACAAATTTTATTACAAAATTTTAATAAATTAATTAATATTATTTTATATTGAACTCAACATTTATTTGGTGGTAGGAGTGTACATAAGTTGGGTTAGGTCAGGATGAAAATTCGGGTTGACCTGTTCATGTAATGATGGAATTGAAATTAATGGCTAATCAAACTCAATCCTTGACTTTCGGGTTGAGTCATTGAGTTACCCCTTTTTTCTTTTTTTCTTTTTTCAGTTCGGGTTGAACCAACCAAAACTTCATTTAACTCAATAATCGAATCGAATTTTCGACTCTTAAAAAATTCAACCCAAATTTATTTTTAATCCAACTTAATTCTGTGGATTGGGTTATTCGGGTTGCTTGAATTCTCGAGTTTTTTGAACACCCTTAATTGATAACTCTAATTAGTTTACAAATATATTACTAGATAAGTTCAACAAAATATTGGAAAGAAGGAATACAATTCATTTAATTGTTTTGACCACCAACACTCTTTAGTTTTTTTAAGCCTTTTTTTTATTAAAGATGATTTGGACATTATATGTCACATCCTTCTTAACAAGGGAAACTATGAAGATAAATTATTATCTGGCACTTGAATAATTAAGAACACTATTAGTTAAAAGTGGATATGGTTTGGTTGGGTTGCATAGTGTTCYTTGTCTCACGGAGGGAACGAGAATCATCTTTTTAATTATTGAAGAATAGATATTTGAACTCGTTAAAACATATATCGTTAACCAAAAAGTCAGAGGTTCGAATCTTTATCCTAACATATTGAATTCAAAAAAAAAAAGTCTTTAAGAAAAAGTAACACCACCGCATTTATTTCGAGTTTTAGTAGACTAAATAGTTTGTTCTAGAGTGATATTTATAAGCACAATATTAATTATTGTATCATGATTGACTTCTTTTTATGACACTTTGATGTGTGAATTAATACAGTGAAGATGAGTTAATGTCAACTAATTCAAAATTGATTTGTCTTATTTCATTATTATTTTTTTTTTTTCAATTCTAGGGTTGGGGATTCCAACCTGCCAAAACTGATCTGTTTAATGATGTCTCAATCATTTTTTATCCATGTAAATCCATATCATTAAACAAAAATTATCTTTAATTTGTTAAACTACTCTTCACCAATAAAAAATGATGTCAAACACACCCTAAAATCACATAGAAAATAGCTCTACTTCTACTGTGATTGGCAACATATATTTTGTGACATTTACAAAAAGAGTGTTGCAAGCATGACTCCAAAACTTCCATCATGAACAAGCTCACATAAGATTTGAATGAATTTTTAGAATACAATGTCATAAATAAATAATATACTCCCAAAAGTATCCACAAAAGTAGACTTTGTTTCGGTGTCGAGAAAAATATGTATCTATCTCTTTCGACGACTTTCTCGAAAAAAATTAAAAGAAATAGTTTAGGTATCAATATTATTCTTTTGTCCTTAAATTATACATAGTAGATAGCTAAATTTGAAATGTTAAACACGTTAGTGTTGTAGATGGTAGGTCTAACAACATATGTGTTATCTCCAACGTTCTCAAAATATGCAAAACTAATTAGCTCTAGATTTATTTTTTTAAAATGATTTAACAATATGACGTGAGAATTCGAACATTTGACTTTTACGACAGATATATAATGTCTTAACAACAACCTTATCGTAATACTATATCGTTATCGAAATACCAAATCTTGGTGAAGCTCAAGCCAAAAGAGGTGTGTGTACAATAGGGAAGCCCCCACCTCTAAGGCAGAGGAGAAGTGGATTAAATTACATTAATTGAAACTAATTGCTTGCTTTGCCCTGTCTACCATGGAAGCTTTGAGCTGCAGAGAAAGGTCAACACGACAGAAGATAGTTCAAAGACCTGTCGGTTGACTTTTAAAATGACAAGAAACCACATTGAGAGGTACTTTGTCYATGCAGCAAATGGCCATCAAAATATCTTTCTRTGATACTTTGATGTTTGATGTAACCCTACTGATCCAACTTGTCTTCTTCTTCAAAAGCCTTTTTCAGCTTGTCTTCATCTATCTCAAAAGCCCTCCTTGCCTGTTTCAGCTCTTCGTTCATCGACAACAGTTCGGTAGAGCGGTTAAGTTTGCGCGGGTCCTACATTTTAGAAAGTCATTTAGATTAAGTTTTGATGTAGAATCTTTGTTGAACGATGGCAACTGGGATATGAACCTTTTTTTCATCTAACATAAATTCTATCCAATAAGCTTTTCTACGACGAACTTTCATCCAAATTAAAATTGTTTCCGTGTTTTCAAATTGGTAGTGACAAACTCAGAGCTTAATGTGGAGTAACCCTGTAAACCAAGACCATTTGGGAAAGATATGGGATGTAACGTTTTGCCTGCACCTAATTTTAGATCCAAACAATGAAGCTAATCTGTTTATGTAATCAGAAAAACGTAGAAATTAAACTTGAAATGAAGATCTGTAACAAAAGCTGGTACATAAGCTTGCAGAATCCAGGGAAAAGAATATAAATAATAACACACACAGTAGAATGGTCTATACAAATTCTATACATAGTTGCAGCCGCCACTTAAAAATTTCAATTACTTCAGCAAAAGGATGCCATGATGCACAGCCGAACAAAAGAATTTAAATTCATCCAATCATATGGAAATAGACAGAAGGAAAGTATGTAACATACCTTTCGCATTAAGTACAAAAAGTCTTCCACGGAAAGTTTTCCCCTTTTTGATCCAATTTCCTGGGCTTTATACACCTGAAAATAACATATACTTCAGATAATCCTAACTAGACCACGTTTGTTTAGCAATGGAGACTTAATAACTGCACAGAAATTCTCACCAGTTCGGTGATGTACTCCACAACAATGTCCTCCATAAGTGCTACAGATTCTGGAAGGGGCTGTAATGCAGCATACAAAAACTCATGAATATATTTTTTAACCATAGATGAAGGGCACAAAAGACTCTAGAGATTTTTTTCCCTTGCTCCCACTGTACTTCTGATCTGCTAAGAACTTAGACTAAAGAGAGAAGCAGCCCGTAAAGCTCTTGTCGAAGCTCCTAATAAACTTTAAGAAGCACAGCAACCAGCCATTTTAAAAAACTCCAGAATTTCGATATTGCAATTCCATTCTTTTGGCTTGCTTGTTATCTTATTTAACTATTTTAATTTACAGGATTGGAAGCTTGAGCTCAATTCTAGGAAATACAAAGAACATTGATCAGTTTCTTCCAAAATTTTCACAAGTCACAGAGATGTCTGTTCCTTCCTATGACAAGTTTATGAGATCAAAGATCCTCGCAGTAATTATTGCCAATATCTTCAAAGAATGCCCACCTACCTGTCCTAGAATCCCAAGAAGAACCAAACAACTAAAAATTATCTACTCAAATTTGATTCCAACAAAAAATATACAGCCATGGAAGATCAGAACAAACCAAGGAAACAGACGTAACCATCTTGCTTATATAAGTCAAAACAAAATTATTATTATATGAAAACTTCACTTACATTGGGGTCATCTCCAAATCCATACATCATGTGCTGCACTAGAAAGACAGAGGAACGCATAATTACATTTTTACAGATACAAACTAATGCTGAAGAAGAAAAAAGAAAAAAGGAAGAAAAAGAATGGCAGTTACATTCTTTCTGGAAAACCCCTCGTTTGCGCTTAAAAGAAGTCTCCGAGGGCTGCGACGATCCAGTTCTTTGCTTTGAGGACGGCCCAGCAGATGGATTGTTCATCTTCACTAACGAAATAATCAAAATAATTAGGGTATGGAGTTAAATTGAAATATTTACAGAGAAATTTCCGACTTCACGGGAAGAAAGAATCACAACTAATTATACCACGAGCTCGAGGGAAAGAAGATAAACCCTAATGAGAAAGTTACAACATCAGGCAACGGAAAGGGAAATTTCAGAGTGGAGTCTCAGAAAAGTGAAGTAAATGCGTTCTAAAAAATTGTTCGTATAATCTGTTGACAAAATACAAGCCATTAAAGATGAAAAGAAAGAGAAGTAATCAGAAATTTCCGAGAATTCCTACCGGAGATGAAGAATTTGAGCCACCGCAGGAGATTCGCCGGAGCTTACAGAATTCTTCCGTTGAAGGGTCCGATTAGAAAGAACGGGAGGGCCAATTTCACTGGTTTGTCAAAAATTCACTCAACCTACGGTCTAAGCGTTCGGTTTTCGGTTCGATTTTGAATGTTTAGTTAGACTCGAACATCAACATAATAATAGATTTAAATAATATTTTCCTCCTTTGTTTTGGTTCATTTTAAAACCAATACCTGTATTTTTAAAATGTTTGTTTTGATTCAAGAATCGAGTAAAGTTTTATCAAGACGTGGCAGCAGATTTACCCTACACTCGAGTCACGAGACTCCACTGCAGTTTCTATGGCCCAGAAGTTCGAAGCATCCAACACAARTACGTTGGTTCGTTCACTCGTTTGCTCACTTCCAACACAAGCACGTTGTCCTTTGGTTCGCCCTCTACCACATGGATCGGCTTTCCTAAAAAAAAGGGGCTCTTAGATGCCCATGTACCTTTAACTTTAGTTCATTTTAGTTTTTTAACTCTTGAAACGTCCCTTTTGATCCATATACTTTTAAAAAGTTATCATTTTGGTCAAATCATTTATATTTTTATCTCATGTATTTCGATCATAATTTTATTATGACACTTCATTTATTAAATTTTTTGAAATGTAACTATAAATTTGCATTAAAGGATTTTCATTGTGCATAAAAGTTATATTAAAAATTTACAAATAGGGACTAAATTTGTCACTTTTTGGAAGTATAAAAATAAAATGGTGTATCACCCTCAAATTTTATAACCTCTCAAACTTTATAATCTCTTACTTAAATGGTATAATTTCATTTCTCTTCTATAACYTCATCAATTTCATTCCCACTCGTGATTTGTGGGCTTCACATTTTATAATTATTATTTATATGAGATACTTGGACAACTGAGATGAAGTAAAATAATGTCAAATTTACTTACCCAACTGCAATAGTGGGCGAGGTATGAGGTTCATGTCACTCATTCCTCTTGGCTTGGCCCACCATTTGCTGTTGAACCAATTAAATCATCAATCATATACTTCATGGAAAAAGTGTCTAAGAAGTTACAAACCTATAATTGTTTTACTAAGACTAAAATGAATAAAAATTGAACATATAGGTACTGAAATGAACCAAAGTCAAAAGTATATGAATCAAAATAGTATTTAAACTCATAATAATATTATAATATCTAAAATGTTAAAGAGTTTTTTTTTTTAATTCAACAATTGCAGGAGTGGTTCAAACCATTGAATCTAATGATCGTAACAGTTATTTWAATTTGTATAAAAAAATAATGATGATGATGATGGTAACGGTTGTCCTACCAAGTTTGTTTATGCMAAGGTCTGCACAACGATACTTCACGAACCAAGCTCGAATCCGGTCTCCGRTCTCGACCTGAACACTAKAGTGGACYTGTACAAGAGGGTAAACACTCCGACACTCAAGTCAGTATAGGTCGGATTCCGTATTTAGTTCGAGCGTGAAATGAGGCCCTCTATTYATAGGTGGGGGATCCGACAGCACTCACAACCGGCGGTTACATGTTTTTTCCCATATCGGACCTGTCGGGTTCCGAGTAGGTCGGTCCTCCCTCARATCGGACTTCGACATGTACGCAGCCTTTTCCCCATGGGCGAACCTGACCTCTTCGGCAGGTTCGAGGTGGAGCTSGGAAATTTTAATTCTTAAACACCAATAAACGTCCTCCACGTGTCTCAGGTAGTTTTACCCCAAACAAAATTAAACCAGGCTTGAATTTGTGTTCGAATTGTTGAGTTTATGCAGCTCTCATGTCAATTTATTTATAAAATAAATTATATGAAGTTAATCAAAATAGCTTATGGATGGACTTAGCTATTATACCTTGAATTTTAGATTCGTTCAAACTAGGCCCATACTCATTTTAGGGGCTGTCATTGTTTAACATTAAATTGTTGACTATAGTTTATTAAGGTATTAGTAAATTCTTTATTAAATTGTAAATCATATTTAAATTGTAAATCTAAAAATCAAAAGAAAATTTCATTATATATCATGTTTTATATAATAAGTTTGGACAGACATAWATAAACAATGTCATATCAAAATCGCATTCCTGATGATTAGCCCTAACAAGAATTAAAATTTATTTATATAAATCAACACTCAACATATATCAAATAGCATTAAAAAGAAACAACAATTACAAAACTAAGGAACTAAACAAAACTTCAATGCCGAAAAAGAAAACTAAGTTGATAAAAACTTAGAAAGAAAACTCAAAAGCTGGAATTGTGATGCATTGATCTCTTGGAAGCTGTATTTATAAGTTGGATGTTGCATTTTGTCAGAGAAATTCACAGCTAGGAAGTTGGTATCTAACTTTCTTGAAGAGATTTTGAGAGGTTAGAAGATATTTGGAACAAACACAATTTGACTTCCTCTTGTCAAATATGTGGAATAGTCGTGTGAGCATTTGACCTTCACGAAAGGTTTGGTCAAAGTGTGTTAAAACGCAACGTTTTCACATTTTGAACAAGAAATGTGGCTAACGCATTTGTGTATCTGCAGGAAATTTCAAAATAATGTGACTAGCGTATTTTAATCAACAATCCTGATTTTTCTACAAAAACAACCATATTTTCATCATTTAACCTGCATTTACCTACGTTCGTCTAAGTGCCAGAGTCTTTAAACACATAATATGCGTATTTTCACTAATTTATAGGTATGAACATATGCTTTCAACCTTAGTAAACAAGCATAACAATATAACACTTTTTAGCCTCTAATCAAGGTTTATCAAGCAGTTTATAAGCGTACAAACACCTATGCGTCATATTGGACGGCTTATAGGTGTGCAACCACCTTTGCCCCATATTAGGCTGTTTATAGGTGAGCAACCACCTTCGCCCCATATTGGGCTACTTATAAGTGTGCAGACACGTACGCGCCATATTGGGCAGTTTATAGGTGCGCAACCACCTTCGCCCCATATTGGGCTACTTATAGGTATGCAGCCATCTCCACGCCATATTGAGCGGCTTATAGGTTGACTTCACTTCAACTACCATTATAGGTCGGTTATAGCTTGACCTATAAGTCGGCCTTAGCAAGTCACGCCATAGTGCAAGTTATAGCGTGGATCACATGTATGCTGCCATCATGTGTTTGCACTACCACATCTCCTATAAACAGAAAAGGACCCCGACCTTTCAAAGTTGGTCATTTCTTGTTAAGACACTATTTACTTCTCTTCTCTTAAACTCATATATTGACTTAAGTATCGGAGTGTGGTAGGCTGGTAGGCTGACACCATTTTTGCATCAACTCATCTTCTCTTTTTGCAAGTTGCCTTCGCCTCAACTTTCGGAGCCAAAATCTCATGTAGACTATCAACTCTCTCAATCTTCCAAACAATAAGGTCTCGTCATTCTCCTATTCATAACCAATTAGGTCATCCTAGCAAGACACAACCTCTCCTTGATCTCTCTATGGTCAAACCACTTGGAGAATATGGTTCAGTTAACCCCGACTTCCGGTTCAACCAGCTTCCCAGAAAAATTGCATCAACGTCATGGTTTTTTTACTCAAAATCTCATAGTTTATTTTAAGTTGAATAAAAGATTATTTAATTGTTTAAAGATGAAATTGGTCCCCTCGTAGGTGGAAAAGTTGAAGACTTGAAAACCTATACTAACATAAAATATAAATTCAATATTTTCAAACTTATAATATTCAAATTTATTTTATCATTTTGTCATCGATCTTACATAATATTTAATAATGTGACTAGGCAGTCAAAAAAGGCGTTGAGAAAATTAAATAAACTAATTTGGTTGATAAAATATATTTCCTTAATTTTGGAAAGGTTTGGTTAGAATATTGTAAAGGTTTGGTTAGAATATTGTATGATATTTTGAAAGCGACGGTTTCCTATTTTTGGGAAAAATATCCTCTCCTACTTTTATTTTAGTCTTGGGTTAAAAGGTTTTAAAATCGGTTTCAATAATTAATAATATATTTACAATAATGTTGTGAAAATATTTATTTTTATAGTATTTTATAGGACTCCATTGTCTCCTTGGTAGTTACTACCACCCACGGTCTCCCCTCACATACGAATAATATTTAAATGCTATCCACACCTATTTTTTACTGATTCACCATTAAATTTAATTTTTTAAATGTTTTCTGATTTTTTATTGGTTATAAGATTTTTTTTTTAAGAAAATGATTGAAGATATAGATTATTACATAACTCTGGTTCATACAAAAACTTGAATGATTTTCACATTTTTTTTGCCAGAATAAAATATATTGACAAGTGGACTACCAAATTTATCAATAAAATCTCATTTTGTAATATTACAAAATTGAATTTAAATAAATTGTGAAATTAATATTTCTGTTTATTTTTTTTTATCTAATTATGAATCTTTTTTGGCAAGATTAAATTATTTTTACTTGGGTTAGATTCTAATGATACCCAAATATTATAAACTAGAAGAAAAAAGCTTAACTAATTTAACCTAAAGATTGAACTCAAATAATAATGATAATCTAAAGATGGCAATAACTTAACTTTTTAGGAGCTAAAATGAATATAACTCAGCGGTAATTGACACATATCTCCCACCAACATGTCGTGAGTTCAATTCTCATCCCACATGTTGTAATGAAGAGGAAAAAAAAAACCTTTTATAACACTCCCTAAAAAAATATTTTTAGGACCAATTATTGCTCATTAAAAAGAAATATCCAAATATTAAAAATAATCTAACTAAATTTAATCTATCCCAGTTGCACCAATTATTGCTCGTTAAAAACTAATGCATGAATATTATAAAATAAAAGAAACACTTAAATAAATTTGACCCAAATATTGGCAATAAAACTAACCTAATTATTGCTCATTTATTAGTGAAAAATAAGGTAGTCTAGCCACTTTACACAAAAGCAAACACATGGACTAATAATATTAGGTAAAGGGAAATTTAAGGTAGTAGCCAAACTTAGGGCCGTTTTAAAAGTGACCAATAGTATCAAATTTTGTATTAAAATTTTAATTTCATTCGATTAATAAGCTACTATTTTTTAGAGATTTTTGTGGCCCGAGGTAGGTTTTCTCGTGAATTAGCAAAATTATATTTTAATAGGCCTTTTTTGGTTGCTTAATTCTTTTTTATTACTATGTTAAGACAATTTGTTGTTCCATACCTTTGATTTGGATGTCTATTCACATTCATTAGTTTTATTTCGTTTCTAATGGGAGAGAATTAAGTAAACAAACCAAATATTAATATTGGCTTCCTCGTCAAATTACATGGCTAAGAATTAGTTAGTTAGCATTAAGATTACCCACAAGTTTATCATTTTTTTTATTATTTTTATTAAATGTAATTAATGACAATAATCATACCAAAAATGCTGGATCGAGGATAAAGATTTCCTTTTGTTGAAATTTAATTTCATTGGATTAAATTTCGTAATAACTTAAATAAAGTTGTTCATTTTAATATTGTTTGATCAAGAATTGATCAAGTCTCCAAACTTCGGATCGGCAAGTACGAGCTAGATAGTGAGTTCTAGATGTCGTGCAGAGGACCTGCAAAACAGAGTAGAAACTTCAATGCTAAAGTTAGCAAGCGTTCAAGTCAACTCGAGAGAGAATTAGTTTGAYCGCGTATCTTAAGATAGAGAGGAATGATTCTATTTATAGGCAAAGAACCCGACAAGGCCTCAACGGCTCTTTAAGGTTGCCGTGAAGTGCGGTCTGCTGTAGTGGAAGTTGTCTGAGAATGGGCTGAGGCGAAGTAGCCCAAGTTATACATTTGGTCGGCTCGGTCATCATGCATGTTCGGCTCGAGAGGAGATCTCATGACCGAAGTAAATATTCTTGTCTGAAATGACACGTGTATGGCTGAAGATCCAACCATAGCATGTCACGTGTAGGTTGAGAATTTACCTCATTCCCTTGTAAAATTTTGAATCACATGTTTGATTCACCATTTTAATAAGCATAAATTTATGRAACTCGAAAACAAAAAACCTGYATTTATGTGACCTCTTAAATTATTGCAAAATGATGAATCATATAAATATGATTTTKTTTAGAGTACAAATACAAATATAAATTTATGTGGCTATAATTTATAAAAATTAGTATATAATAGTAAAGAAATTGAAGAATAAGTTATGAAGAAATTGAATTTGTATAGTTTATGAGATTAGAAAACTGTAACTTATATACACTTTGTTTCGATTTATTGACCTTAATTTATACAAGTATAATGGATACCCCATGAAATACACTTTCTAAAAACTTTCAAAATAATATATATATATATATATATAGAAGGGAAAAGTCCATTAAAGTCTATTAATTTATATATTTTTCATCTTCCAATATATATAATATTTTTCTGAAGATGACCTTTTTGCCCCTTTTTATTTCGGTTCATAAAATTCAATTGTGGAGTGCTCCGCTGCTCCATATATAAATAGGTTATTTAAAACAAATTATATATATATATATATAACTCCAATTATTCTAGAGATTATCATTAGTTATCATGAAAAATATATATGTCACCAAGTCATTAGTAATTATAGTAATAAAAAAATTCTCCAAATAACATAACAAAGATTTAACATAATACTTTTGTTTTTYGTTTTTTCATTTTTAATTATCATACTTACTTTACCAGCAACTTTTTTTATTTCAATTTTTACTTTTTAGAAACTTCTTTGAACTCTTGACAAGATTCAAAATACCTGAAGTAGAAATTTGAAGAGTATCCTCTCTCTCTCTCTGTTTTTTTAGGTTTTAAATTTTTCCAAGGATCTTAAAAATATATCATAAAGTTAAAGAAAATTAATAATTAAATATAACTTTTGAGAAAAATAAATAAACTTGTCATATTAGATTAATTCGTGTAACATTTCGAAAATTAATTTTAATCTTCATATAACTCAAAAAAATTAATACTCTAATCTCATTAAACTATCCTTCAAAATAAAAGATGTCAATTTTTACCAATAAGTTAGAAATACTATTTAAAATTTAATCACATAACAACTAAATAATGACAAGATAATATTTATATTAATTCTATGTCAAATTGATTAAGTCTTGGAATGATTTGGAAAACAAATTTTAATCTTCATATAACTTAAAACGAATTAATATTTTCTAAACTCACTGAAATACCCTTTAAAAAAAAAAGAAACCACAAAATTTACAAATAACTTAAAATACTATTTAAAATTCAATCACATGAAAAAAATACATGATATTATTTATTCTCTCAAATTGAAACATTGTATTTGATTAAGTTTGTATAACATTTGAAAATGAATTTTAATATCCATAGAAACCAAAACGAACTCATATTCCCCTAAAATACCCCTTCAAAATAAAAGATAACCACGAACTTTAAAATTAACTTGAAATAATATTTAAAATCCAATATGATAACATTCTACCCTTACCTTTAACTTTACAAATAATTTGAAATTTCATTTAAAATTCATTCACATAAAAAAAATATGTAACATATTACTTATTAGTTCTCAAACTCAAACGGTGTATATTTGATTAAGTTGGATAACCATTTGAAAATGAATTTTAATCTCCATATAACTATTTTGAAAATGAATTTTAGTCTTCATAGAACTCAAAACGAACTAATATTCTAACCTCTCTAAAATACCTCTTCAAAATAAAAGATAACCATGAAATTTAAAAATAACTTGAAATACTATTTAAAATTTAATCCCATAAAATTCCTACCTTTCAAAATAAAAGATAACCTCCAACTTTACAAATAACTTCAAATACTATTTATAATTCCATAAAAAAATGACAAGATAGTTTATTAATTCTCAAATTAAAACGTTGTATTTGATTAAGTTTGTATAACATTTGAAAATGAATTTTAATCTCCATAGAACTCCAAATGAATTAATATTCTAACATTCCTAAAATTCCCCTTCAAAATAAAAGATAAACACTAACATAAAATACTATTTAAAAGTCAATCAAGTAAAATTTATATTCTTCAAAATAAAAGACGATCACGAAACTTTACAAATAACTTGAAATGCTATTTAAATTCAATTTGATAAAATTTTAAAAAGGACAAGATATTACTTATTAATTTTCAAATTAAAATGTAGTATTAGAATAAATCAGGGAATGATTTGAAAACAAATTTTAATATCTATAGAATTAAAAACGAACTAATATTATAATATCACTAAAATTTAAAAAATAAAAGATAAACACAAAATTTACAAATAATTTGAAATACCATTCAAAAGTCAATCTCATAAAATTAAAAATTAATGAAATTATCCATTTTCCGGAAAAGAGAAAACAAAATATCGTCGATTGCCGTCTCGTATAAATCGGACGGCTCGCAAGCACGACACGTGGGAAACCCAATAATCAAGGCGTCGGCCAATCGGGCGAGTTTCAAATTTGTCTGTACTCGCAGGCGAGTCCGGGGATGATCTTAATGAGAAGTCGTGTAAAGCGAACTAAACGCTGCTTAATACCGAAAGATAGGAACGTAGATTTTGCGGACACGTAAGGGATCTGTGTTGTTTTCCGCGCGTGATATCCACGCTCTCGCTGACGTGGCCAAATCCGGATAGCTCCAGAAGCTTTTGAAACTGCGGGTGGTCCACGCACGCGCTTTCGCACGAAATTCTTCCTTCACAGCCAATACAGGCTATCCCAAAAGCGGCGTCGTTTCGGTCTCTCCGCTTCTCACGACGTCGTTTGATGGACGTATAGTTTGAAGAACGAAGAAGAAAAATCGTGGAAGGTAGGTGACCTGTTTGGATACGGAAATAGCATGGCCCTCCTCTTGCTCCGTCTATAAATGCACAGTTTCCTGGCTTCTCTCTCTACCTCTCCTTTCTCTCTCTAAACTTTTTTTTTTCTTTTACGAATTTCTCGTCGGAGTTCAACAAGACAACCCAAATTCAAAGATTGTGTGGTAAACGTCGTTGATTCGGCAAATGCTCGTATAAATATCGGAGAATCTGATTCTGATCTGCGAAAATATTCATACCTAAAAGGCATAAGAAGAAACAGAGTCTTTTGTATAGGAAATCAGAGAATTACATTGAGAAAACGAAACGATGGATAGCTTCTGTCTGAATCCAGGAATCCATGGGATGGCTTCGTCGTTATCAGTGAATGCCGCTCTCGATGTTCGTGCGAATCCTTCTCAGGTGAGTACTGCCGGTCGGCCGACTGCGGTTGAGAAATCGCAGAAAATGACTTCGCCGTCGCCGCCGCCGTCGTCTTCAGCGACTTCTTCGTTTCTGAAGTTTTCTTTGAAGTATCCCTTGCAATCGCTGTGGAGTCGGGGTGGGGAAGGTGGGAATTCTAGGCGTGGCGGTTTGGCGCTGGACGACGCCGTTTTGGTGGAGAGTGAAGAGGATCGGAGAGTCGTTGGTGAGGAGGAAGGTGAGAATGTAGCAACCGGATCGGAGGGGAGTAGTGAAAACTGGGTGATGAAGATCTTGCGGGTGAGATCTCTGTGGAGAGAGGAGGAGAAGCAGGGAATTGCAGAAGAAGAGATTAAAATAGAGATGGAAGAAGAGCGTGACGTGGAGGATCAAGAAATTGCTTGTGATGATGAAGAGGGCTGTGATACTTGCAGAATCGTTGAGGAAGAAGAAGATGATGAAAAGGAGATCGAATTCGATAGGCACTCGTTTTCGAAACTGCTTCGACGGGTTTCGTTAGCCGAAGCGAGGCTGTATGCTCAAATGTCGTATTTGGGGAGCATCGCATACTCCATTCCCGAAATTAAGGTAACAGAATTTGATTCGATTAAGTAATTTTGGTTTCCAAATTAGAGAACTCCAGGTCAAGATTTGTATGTTTAATCAAGCTTTCTGAGCGGACTTTTGACCGTAAAATCGAATTGATTCGTGAAAGATAATTCGCTTCATTTTCCAATAGCCTTTTTTAAGTTATAATAATTGAGAAAACGATTTGGAATCCTTCTTTTTTGGATTTTTGATCTTTTGTTGGTATAAATTTCCTTCTATTACATGTTTTTGAGCATCAGCGAGCTCCAATAGTAAAGTTTTGATTCATTTGTTGATGATTTTTTTATGAACCCGATTTCATTTTTGTTAATCCAGCCGAAGAATCTGCTGAGATATTATGGTCTACGCTTTATAACGTCTTCAATTGAAAAGAGGGAATTGGCTATGAAATCTGAGAAAACCCAAGAGCCAGCTGAATCGAAAGAAGCTGGAATGGATCTAAATAATGATGAACAGTGTGAAGGGAAGAAGAAGGATGGATATCAAATAAGTGCATCTACTGCTTATGATATTGCTGCCTCTGCTGCTTCTTATTTGCATTCTCATACCAGAAAAATACTTCCATTCAGATCCTCTAAATCTGAGGATTCACTCAAAGAAAGTCAGAATAATGTTGAAATGATGAACTCAGAGATGGCTTCTTTAAAGGCAACCACAGATTCGGTTACTGCTGTTGTTGCTGCAAAGGAGGAAGTGAAGCAAGCTGTTGCAGATGATTTGAATTCGACTCGGTCTTCACCGTGCGAATGGTTCGTATGCGATGACGTTGAGAGCAGTACAAGATTCTTCGTCATTCAGGTACATCTTACTTCCCCAAGCCAGAAAAAAGAATGAAAATAAAGAATAGGCCAGGCATGAGACTATTGGAGGCTAGCATTTGATTGATTCTAAAGATCTTTTGTATCTTTTCGAACCGAGCATCTCGGTCCTTCCTTCAAAATGTTAACCTTACACTAAAACAGTATTCTAAACATTAACAATCACTTATATCATTTGATGTATTTGGTCTAATTTATATGGTCTTTGTTTCGTTTGGTGCAGGGATCTGAGTCACTGGCATCTTGGAAAGCAAATTTGCTTTTTGAACCCGTCAAGTTCGAGGTACGAATTCTTGCTAGTTTTAAGCATGTTTTAAACTTTTAAATCAAATGCTGTAGTCTGTTGCGTATATAGTATGCCATAAATGTTGAGATATGATGAATCTATAATTATGCAACAAGCTGATATATGTTTTAAATGGCCGATTATGTAGGGACTAGGTGTCCTTGTCCATAGAGGAATCTACGAGGCTGCTAAAGGAATGTATGAACAGATGTTGCCTGATGTTCTTCAACACCTAAAATCTCACGGTGACCGTGCAGCCTTTCGATTTACTGGCCATTCTCTTGGGGGAAGCTTGGCGCTGCTCGTGAATCTCATGCTCTTGATAAGAAATGCGGTTCCAGTTTCTTCCTTGCTTCCTGTCATTACATTTGGTGCACCATCAATAATGTGTGGAGGTGACCGTTTACTTCGTAAACTCGGTCTGCCACGAAACCATCTTCAATCTGTAACATTACATAGAGACATAGTACCACGAGCATTCTCATGCCAGTATCCGAACCATGTCGCGGAACTTCTTAAAGCTGTCAATGGAAACTTTAGGAATCATCCATGTCTAAGTAACCAGGTGAGCTTCAAATCTTATACAGATCAAACAGATTTTTCTATGATACAAATACTTGATAAAGTGTCCTGATCTAACTATTTTATGAACTGCAGAAGTTGTTGTACGCTCCGATGGGCGAGTTTCTAATTCTGCAGCCCGATGAGAAGTTTTCGCCAAGCCATCATCTCCTTCCTTCAGGTAGTGGTCTGTATCTCTTAAGCCGTCCACAATCTGATGCCAGTGATGATGCAGAGAAGCAGCTCCGAGCAGCGCAGATGGTATTCTTAAACACACCTCATCCCCTCGAGACCCTGAGCGACCGGTCCGCTTATGGTTCTGGAGGAACAATCCAAAGAGATCACGATATGAGTTCGTACCTAAAATCAGTTCGAGGAGTGATTCGTCAAGAGCTAAACCGCATAAGGAAAGTGAGGAGAGAACATAGGCGCAAGGTCTGGTGGGCTCTGGTGACTCCAGGCAAGGTCGATATAGGAATTGTGATCGAACGGCCTGCTGTTTCGATCAACCTCAGTCAGGACCAGTTCAACTTCTCCGGCATGCTGCAAACGGGAAGAGAGTCGCTGAGACGATTCAGTCGGCTTGTTGCTTCACAGCATATGAATCTACTTGTTGTGATGCTGCTCCCAGCTAGATTGCTAATGTTTGAAGTCAGCAGGGTGGTTGGTTAGAAGTTAAAAACATGTTTCTTGTTCTTGTTCATGTTCATGTTCTTGTTCTTGATGTTCTTCATCTGGTTTCTTGTCACTTTTTTTTCTGGTGGAGGCTGGATGGATGGATTAATGGTCTGTACAGATGGGGATTCAAATTGGTGGTTGGCCAAACAGTTAGAAGATTCTTTATTCATTGGTTCCAGAAAAATAGACAGCAACATCAAATAATGTTGCTAATTCAATGTTATGAAGCAAAATTATTTGTCAAAAGTCAATGTTCTTACAAATCAAAACTTCTTACATTGTCTTGGTGGTGTTGGTTGGAACTTCTTTTGACGTACAAGGAACAGTTGCCTGTACACAATACTTGTTCTTCTTCTTCGTTATTTGTCAATCTTCATTTGCGCTTTTGTTTTTGTCGACATGGATTGATAAATTTTATTGCATCGCTTTAAAAATACTAATTTGTAAAATCTACGACTTCTCTCTCTGTCACTCGAGAAATTTGTTGACATTTGATAATGATGATTGATAAAGACATTTGAGAAAGTATAGTCAAGTTATGTAGATCATTATAGATTCTATTAGGCCGTTTTTGCATGCTTTAAAATTTTATAATCTTTAAAATATATATTTTTTCTTCTTTTAAGATTTGACAGTGAAAGAGATATTTTAGAATGGTTAACCAAATTATATGGCCTGTTATGACGCTTTTTAAAACTTTAAAATGACACCTAAAATAAATCAACAAACTTCAAATTGCAATTAGTAAATTAGTAAAGTTGTTTATTTATAAAATTCTTCACTAAAATTGTAAAAAGTTTTATTTTCAATTACACAAAAAGCTATAAAAAAAAAATGAAGGGAGCAGACTAGGAATGGGATTCTTTTAATACTACCATTTTTTTTACTGCAACTAAATGTATGGACCAAAAATTGAACCTCCAATTTAGAGACGAAGAGTGCTAATCTTGACTTAATATTGTTATTTATTAGTTATATTTCAATAATAAATATAATAATTTTATAATTGCCCTGAATATTCACCTCTTCTAAATGGTAATACTAAAAAAAATCTATCATGAGCCTCCACGTTATAAAGCTTAACATATAACACTATTTTTACGGACTTGGTTATTACAAAATGGTTAAATTATAAGTTTAGTCCACGAACTTCAGTTTTGTGTCCAATGGTACTTGCAAAGTATTAAATATATTCCCAAACCTTCAATATTATTTTTAATAGATCAAACTTTCAATTATGTACTCCATAGATCCCATACCTATCGGATATTTTTTCATTCACAAACTTATTAGGCACAAAATTGAAAGTCTAGAATTCTATTGCAGAAAAAAAAAATCAATTTTATGTTTAATAGATATACTAATTTTTGAAATTGTTGAATATGTTATGAGCTTATTATTAGGACAAAATAGAAACTTTAGGAATATAATAAACACTTTTAAACGTAACTTTATGAACTTATTTGATACAAAATTACAAGTTTATAGAGTTATTAAATACGAAACTAAGAGTTCATGGACTAAACTTATAATTTAACATTAAAAAAATTATCACTTTTTATTCCCAAAAAATATCAATTTTTTAAGTATAATAAATTTTAAAAATATATATATATATAATTACTATTTATAAAAAAAGAACAAAGATGCAATATGTTATTATGGTATTTACTAAAAATTGTGTGGAAAATTTTTGTTGGATTATCCAATATTAAAAAAAAAAAAACCTTTTTCTCCAAGAAAGCGCCGACCAAGCATCCTTCCATTGCGATCTGTCTACACGTTTTTTACATCTTCAATCTACGTGTTCAGCACGTGGCTAGCGACATGTAGAATCTCAGTCCAACTGTCCAAGTGAACTGAATCCGACGTGTCGGAAAATAATAGTCATTACTTTTTCTTTTTCTATTTCTTTTTCTTTTTTGTTTTAATTCAGAATTTCCGTTTGCAGACAAAAAAAATTTACAAGTCCCACTTGAAAAATGGCTCCTTTTTTAGTTTCTGTGCCTATCCATCCAACAAGGCACCCTCAATTTCCAATCTAATTTTAACATTTAAAATTTTATTTCTTGGCTTAATTTATTTTTATTTTAATATAATAGTTCATATCAAAATTTGATGCGTTCAAAATTTTGTTATGGTTTTATTCTTAAAATTAGGTTTGTTAATTAGTAGGGCGTAATCTAATTGGAAAGTATTAATTACTTCTTTTAAAAAAATAAGATAATTAAGATAATAGGATTTTTTTAGGGGAAAAAATATGGATTTTTTAATAATTATTTTTTAAAAACAAATTACAAAATTAGAGTAGATTTCAAAATAATTACAAAACTAGTGTAGATAAATCGCAGGGATAGACTGCGATTTCAACGAAATCGCAGCCATCACCCGCGAATCAGAACGAAATCGCAGTTGATGACCTCGATTTATTTCAGTGCGACTTCTCCTTGATGTGGCTCCTCTCCTGTCGAAAGTCGCAGTCATTTCTAACGCGTACAATGTTGAAGTCTCATACATTGTAAAAACTAAAATAAAAAAATAAAAAGGTGGAAGTCGTGTACATTGTACGTGACTTCCAATGTAAAAAGATAAAAATGTGGAAGTCGCGTACGTTCGACTTCCGTTTAGTCACCTGTCACATCAAATATACACGTTTACACGAAAATCACAGGACTATACGCGAGTTTTGAGTTTTACTTTGAGCAAACCTATTTTTATCGATAGTTTTGAAAAGTTACATTACTTTTGAGTTTATTTATTTAAATTACATTTATTTTGTTATTATTTTTAAACTACCATTATTTTTTAATTTATTTTTAAAACTTTTCCTAAAAAAATATAGGTTTGAAAATAGCAAATTTTAAATTCGTTGAATAAAAATTGCTTTTTTTTTTTGGAAACAAAATAAAAATTGCTTTTGAATGAAAGGCATCACTGATTCGTGGGAGCCTCCCGACAATAACTGCAAGTGCGGCCAAGCTCCGCCGTACGCGCAGTTCAAGGCGCGTCGAGAGCGTGTGGATTGTTGTCAAAAAGCTGTCTTTTCTTTTTCGAGACAGATAATAATAATAAATAAATTCAATTTTTAGTAAAGTTGTAAACTCGAATTTTAAAATTTTGTTTCCAAAAGTAAAAGGGAAAACGGAGAAAATAACTTTATCGTTATTATTATTTATTTATTTTGACTTTTGATATAAAATTCTTAACAATTAAGTTATACTCAACTCCGCTAGTAAATTCTTTTGATTACTTCTTATAAAAAAAATATAATCTTTTTGATTACTTGAATACTTTTACGTCAATTTAATTTTGTGATGGATATTTATGTAACTTAATTTTGAGTATTTTCGAATTAAGTACACTATAAAAATAAATTATCCTAAAAAATAAAACTACAAATCATAACCTTAAACATTTGGGTATTGTTATAACACCATCTTTAAAAAAAAATTAATTATCTCTGTTGGATTTGTAAGGAAATGCAAATAAAGTCTTACGAAGGGAAGAGAATGATCTATGGTATATAAGAGATGACAGTTATCTCAATTGATTTGAGCCTTTTTTGGTGAAACCAAAAACAAATCCGTGAAGACTATGTCCAAAATGGATAATATCATACAATTATGGAGATACTTAAGTATCGTTGTCCTTAGCAATGCCCCTATACATTGCATTATGTTTACTTTTAGTCTTTGGTTATTAACACGAATCAACACTTAGACATGAGCATAGCTCAATTTATCAAATAATTATTTATCTTCCCAAAGGTCGTAGAATTAAATTGCCTTTAACTGTAATTGAACTTTTAAAAAAATGATTGACGGGATGTTAACATGACACTTTGTTAGATAAAATTTAGATGAAGTGATTGACATATTACAAATGAATGAATGCACAGGTGACAACTACGATCTCAGTTAATAAATTTTTGTTTTATATTTTTAAAAATTAAGTTCAGAAACATTACTTTCATCGTTCATTTATTTTGTTATAGGTTTTTATAAATATTTTTAAAGTTTAGGATAAAATTTAAAAATATATACATAAAAATAGTTTTAAAATTAAATTTTTTGTTTTTTTTTNTCAATCAAAATTTGACCTAAAATTTACAACTTTATTAAGAAATCTCAAAGAATTGAAATTTACCGAACAGCAGTCCCATCACTCGGGGAAATTGGGGAATGCTGAATTTGGTTGTCGCCCAATTTGACGGCGGAGCCATGAAAGTCGTCAATAATAGCACCACTAATTCCGTTGGAAATTTTGAAGAAGAAAAGTCCGTCAAGCAACTGTAAAACTGCCAGCCGACACTGTAGGCTGTAATACTGTCCGTTTCCTAACACTTTCGTTTGCTGTTTATTTTTTTTATTATTTTAATAAAGAAAAATAGAAGTAACATATTTGATAAGAGGAGTAATATTGTCTTCGCCATCGTTATTAAATGTTTGACTAGGAGAGAAAAATGAAAAAATATATTCTTTTATAAGAATAATGAGTTGTTAATTTTTTAATGGTTGTAAGAATAAGATTTGGTCATCACGATTAATCGGTCAAGTATTTTGCATGGTTTCAACACTTATGGATTTAAGAATGATAAAATAATATTATTTATATCTTGGAACAAATTGAAAACATGAATAAGTATTTAGCAACTATTTATGTTTCTTATTTTTCATTTTTTTAGAAACATTATCAAGAGTATATAAAAATTTTGGAAATAACAAAAATAAGTTTTTTTCTTTTTTTCTTTCAATTTCCAGTTTGTTTCAAAACATAAATAGAAGCCTTGCTTTTCTTGAATATGTAGGTAGGTGAGTCATGCAATTATATATTTTTTTTATTAAAAAGAAATAAATAGAAACGAGAAACGAGAAGTTACCAAACAAGTTTATATTTTTGTTGTTTCCAAAATTTCTATACAATTTGAGAATGTTTCTAAAAAAATGAGAAACAATAACATAAATAGTTGTCAAATTCTTAGGTTTTTTAATAAAATTGAAAACAATAAATTGGAACGTTACCAAACAAACTCGTAACATTTTTGTTTCCTTTTGTTGAATAAAAAAAACATAATTGCATTTTAAAAATAAAAATATAATTACATTTGGTAACCGTTTCTTAATCTTCATTTTTTTATGGAAAAAAAAAACTTGATTTTGTTGAAAACGAGAACAATAAAGAAGAAAATTGTTATTTTTGTTTCCAAAATTAAATATACGTGGGGTGAGAAACTTACAATCTCTTAATCTTTTAATTAGAGATATGTACTAATTACCGCTAAGCTATGTTTGGACTACTTTGACATGAATTTCGTTTAAAAAAATAGAAACAACAAATAATTACAAATGAGAAATTTATTACCCACCAGATCCTTAGCCACTGTCAAAATTTATTTATTGTGAAAAGTGGTTTTAATTCTTCTCGAATTAAAGAAAATGCATTCAACAATTAAGATGTTAAATTTTTTTGTGTGTGTCGTTGCGTCCTTAATTTTTAAAATTAAAATATAAAAAAGTTGGAAGGTTAAAAGTTTACTTCTTGGAAAAAAAAATTGACTCTGCCCTCAGTTAAATCCCATCGTTACTATTTATGACGTGTCAAAATAAAATAACCTTTCATATCAATGAACTGACACGAGAGGGTCAAATTTTATATTTAAGACTTTTTTGTAAATGAGTGAATTTTGTTAGAAATATAAACATATATAAATATATATAGAGAGAGAGTAAGACTTTTTTTATAAGTATAATAAATTGGAAGTACAAGAATGAGTAAGATTATAATCGATCATAAAAATATATATATATATATATATGTGGATAAAGTTGTCGACAAATTCAAATTCAATTACAGCTCTAGAATGAAAATCTTGTGAAAATGGAATTAAGATTCAAGCAACTGGTGCAGAATATGTGAAAATCTGGGAGATGACTTTTAGGATAAACAAAGAAGATCAAAATTCCTTTTGCAGCACGCAATAATAAGTGTCTATTTGTTTCATCTTTTTCGATCAATAAAAAAATAACTATTTTTAGTAATTATTATTTCTTTTTATCTTTTTATTGAAAAAAGACACTTTCCTTAAGCTTGATAGTTCCATCTCTAACCTTCCACAACTTCGGACCTATTCATTAGATGATCAGACAGATCAATACAGCACTTTTATTTCCCACATTTTTTTTTATCAAGCCATCCAAACAGGCAATTGTACTACAATAATTATATGCCAGTCTAACATAGAAAGCACTAGGGAAATTGCTTCATGGATGGAAACTACAGTCATACACTCCCCCCTCCCATAAAAGAGGAAGGACAATTTTTGAGTTACAGATTGATTTTACCTGCCAAATACCAGGAGTGCATAGCAAGACTACCAAATGCTAGGATATTTGCAAGGGATGACAAGCCATGGATCATTCCAAATTTCTTGTTCATTGCTGCAAGTTTTGGGTTCACCTTTGCAACTTCGACGTTTTTTGACCACCCGACTTCCTCGCCAATGTTACTTTCCCTCTCCACCTTGTGCCTTTGTTTCATCAACTGAACAGCAATGAGGAGGAAACAAAAGAGATGGAGTTGAATTGTCTAGTAAATATATTGAGTTACAAGAAAACACTATCGAGCTGAAGCACTGTGATGGCACATTTTTAATGTTTATGATAACTCTTTCGAAAGCAATACATACTATAGTTATTTCCACATCAGTCATCAGCTGTCTAATAGGAATATTATTATGATAAAATTACAAATATTATTAGGGTATTAAAGGTATATTAGTAATTGTAATAGGAGGTTTTGTTATAAATATAGTGAGGGGGAAAGGATGGATGAAGGTAGGCAATTGTTAGTATGGTCTAGGCTGGTCTAGGCTTGACTAAAAATATTCAAGAGAGGGAAACGTCCAAGTACCTCGAATTACCTAAGAGTTATTGTGTTGTTCTTGTTTGGATTCTATCCCTAAAATATCAAAGTCTACTCTTATCAGAATACACTATTTAATCATATTAGCGCTAAACAAGATTTTTATTTTTTGATATACTACGTGATTTTTCATCTGGGATTTACTTCAAAGCATTTTTAAAAATGATGTTGAACAGTTAAAGCTAAATATACGTGATGTTTTACATCATCTGATGAATCACTTTCCCCATCTCTTAATTAACAATGACTGTCTCATATAAAGTTTCAGTATTTTCAAGTTTTCTTCTTATTTTGTTGTCGAGGTTAATTTTTCACATTCTCTTATATACACAGTATCCCCACTCACTTGCCAATGCCACCATGATGGTACTCAATTAGGATACCCTTTAATTTTCTTTACTATTTTACTTTTCTCCAATTTTCTCCTTTCTTACTTTTCCTCTTAGAGTGCAAGCAACCAATTTTCTCTGATTTCATTAAACTATAAATATCTTAGGTGGGGCTATAATGAATTTTCTAATTGTTCACCATCGACCTCAAAACTATGTTATCATGTTGAGTCTAAAAATCAAAAGTATGCAATATGAATGTACAATCACCAGTAAATAACAAGATTAAAAATAAAGCAAAGGAGGGGGCTTGTTGGGAATTCCTTATGCTGAGGCTTTGAGGTAGATGGAGGAGAAGTTGGGGAACGAGTTATCTTCAGTCCTCTGACCTCTTCATTGACAAGCCAAGGATCAGAGTTGGGGTCGAGGGATTAGATGAGACGACCTCTTTCTCCTTCCCAACCATGAAAGAAACCTTACTGAGGGCTTTAGAATGTTAGGGACTCGTTTCCTGACTCCACAATATGCTGCTGCCACAACCTTTTTTCTCTCTGAGGAGGAATGACTTGATCCCATCAAGACTCTTTCCACATTTTATAAGCTTCAAGTACTAAGATTAATAAGGACTAAAATGTCATCTTGCATATTCATTACCATGATATAAAGCCCTGTAGGTGGGTTGTTCAATTCCCTCGCTCCCTACAAATGTTCATGTTATCTTTAAGGCAAAGATTTCTCCTGTTGGGACCGTGTGGTCGAGAAAGTTTCTAACAGATTATCAGGTTAAAAGAGGGCAGGCCCTTCTACTTGTTGTCCATATCCAAGGTTTCAAAGCCTACTGCGAAGAGGATTCCAGACATCATGAAAGGCTTACTGTGGGAGCATGTAGAATCTAGTCATGGAGTCTCGTATCTTTGTGCATCAGATGGGTGGGTCAGGGATTAGTAATTTGGTGATCTACAATCTCGCCCTTATGGATAAGTACCTTTGTTTACTCTAGAAGTGTTAGACTTCATAGCAGAAGATTATTATCAAGAAGTTTGGGGAATTGTCCTAAAGGATGATGTTTCAACCAGGCTTTCTTAGTGTATCGTTTGTAACTGTACAACTGATTTCTAAAACGGCCTTTATAAACCGGACATGTGGGACCCACCGCCTAGCTCATTTCCGAACGCAAGTATGCAATTCTGATTCCTCGTCTTGAGAGCTATTGGTCAAAAAGCATCTTCTATGGCTCAAGTAGTGACTACTCTACAGGAAGATCCATAGATTTAGAAATTCATTTCAGATAATTGAACATTTTTTACCGGTCTGTTAAGAGGTCTCAGCTGCATACATCACTGCACTTTCACCTGACATAAACAGCTCATCTTGTCATGTCCTTCTCTTAAATTCTCAAAACTTTTGTCGCTCCATAGGTCGGATTCTTATTGATTTTGACTTGAATGTTGAGCTGTTTGTTCTCTTGCAGATCTTTCCTTGCATACCTCGCACCAAATAGCTTGGTCTTGTCCACTTCGCACGTGCTCTCAATGTGATTTCGGCATAAACAAGGCCCATTACATGTGGTTTATACAAGCTCTTACATTTTTGTTCCTTTTCTCAGAAACAAAGAACATATCCAAACTCGGAGAGTATACATGTTGGCTTTACCCCTTATGTTGTTGCCCACGCTTCATAATCTTTCTAGGTCCAAGTCTACTTCTAGTATATTTACGTTATTTCCACCTATCTCATCTTTAAAGATCTAACTTTATTTGTTATTGTGGATAATTGGGGTATACTTCTAATGGGATTGTCCTCTATAGGCCTCAGTAATCAGTATGGCTATGTATATCCTATATCTGGAGTTTGATGTCTAAGCATCTTATTGTTGGAAATCTTAGATTTTGTTTGACATGATAATGTTGTGAGAGTATATGAATTCCTATATTTGTTTGGGAGGAATTGTATAAGAAAATACGGTATTATTATGTCATTTTCCCAGTATTGCTTCTTTTTATGATAAACTTACATTAAAGTTAAAAGACGTGTCCTATCTACTTGTCCTATCTACTATTTGACTACTTGTTTCGCAAAATTTCAGCAAGCTTGCAAAAATAATATAATTGTGGAAACTTCATGAAGTAAATAAAATAGTCATTATATCATACAGAATTAATACCAATTTTAGGTCAAATAAACCAACTATATTTGACCTTGACTCCTTACTAAACTAATATGAATATATCAACCATGTTTTATTTTTTTCCGAGTACTTAATATAACAAAAATATCAACAAATGGTAATAAAACATATATATGAGATATATTTAAAGAATGCTATTTAAGGCATAAAAATAAAAAATCATTAATCTATGAATGTATTACATGATAATCCTTAATTATCACCGGTTTTGGAGGTAGTTTTCCTCAAACTCAAATTTGGATACCCAAAGATTTTGGCCATCTCAAATTCACAGACTACCATTAAAAGATCATGGGAATCCATGATAATTTAGGATTATCATGTCAAATGCATCAAAATAACACCAAACAAATAGAAGCCAAGTATTTAAGTAAGGATCCTTCCTATACAATTGCCAGATTTTGCCCTCTTATATTTTTTGTTATCCTAAAAAAAACGTGTCTTTCTTATTTATTCAAGAAAAAGTTAAAATGCGGCAATAGAAATTACAAAAACTAGACAAAGACTACTAAAAGTTCATGAGATCATTTTCAAAGGAATGAATTTTCCATTAAAAATTAAAACTCAGTACACTTTCAACTGCAAGCATATGATACATCTTGTATCTAGCAGGGGAAGAAACATACACGCACGCACAAGACCACAACAAACATTTTCGCAACGTATAGCATTTATGTATAAATCTTAAACAGAGTAATAATAACATTCCAAATAGTTGAGAAATTACCTCAATAGTCATGGGTGTGAAGACAAACAGGTTGGCCAAATTAAAAGCAAACGCCGATATCAAAAACCCAAGCTGGTACCTCTCAGCAGTTGCTGCGGACTTCCATGGATGAAGATAACCAAAAGCTGCAACGGATGTGGCACAACAAATCCCAACCATCGAGAAATAGGCAGGGAACATCTTGCTTTGAAGATTACCAAATTGGTGCCTCGGCAGATTCCTAAGATTTATATGAGATTAAAGCAATCACTAAGCAGTCTGAAACATCACTTCTCGCACGAATATAAGATGTTAGTATTAATATTTCAGTCAGAGGTAAAAATTTATAGAAACTTCCAATTCCATCTTGAGATATCCATTTCGAATGTTGTCTATCCTATTAAAGCAAAGTTTCACAATAGATCTATAATTACAATAACATCTTAAAATCACAACAATTATTAAAGATAAGTATCTTCGCCACAGATAATATCCAAGACATATTAAGTATATCGTCCAAAAAAATTAAAATACACAAATTAGAGATGTTCAAACAAACAGTCATTCTCCACTCGGTTAAATTGAGTGACGACACAACAAGCAGTCAAACAGCAGTATAGTTGCACAATCAGCTTGAAAGATGAATTCATCGAAAAACACAAATGGAAATGGTGTTAAATTTGTATGAATTAAGTGGAAGAGAGGCGTTACTTGAACATGATGATGCCGCCGATGAAGGTGACCCAGAGAGAGGCGCCCCAAGCGGTGGAGTAGCTGAGGAGATGAGCCAGTTTGAGCAACGCCGAAAGCTTCGGCGCATTGGAGCCGTCTGAATTGGATCCGAAGGTCCCCGGCGAAAATACAACTCCGATGGCCAGAAAAGCCACCGCCGTGAGGAATCGCGTGAGCCAGACCATCTCTCTGCGTGCTGTGGACTGTGGTCAGCTTCAGGAAGGAAAATGGATATAAGGAACTGATAGAATGGGCGAAACAAGGAGGTACGCGGTAGGTAAGCCAAGGCTTTGACGAACGGATTTTTTTTTTTTTTCCGCCCTTTCTAGATTTCTATAAAGAATGAATGATTAAAATGGAAATATATAATTAGTTTCTTACCTTACCTGTACACAAAAACAACCAAAACCTAAAATTATAAAATATAAAAAACAAACAAACAAAAATTAGTTCCTTACCACTAAATGTTGGTCACATGTTTAGCTCCCCGAATCCAAATAGGAATGAATCAAAATAAACTCCATTTGAATGGTAATATGATTTTTTCCATGTTGTTTATTATAAATTTGTTGAAATCGAAACCATAATTTGTTCGATATTGTTTACTAAAATCGGAATCATATATATAAAAATTACTAGTATACATATTTCTTTTTTGTGGCTAATTATTGAATATTAATTAAAATAATAATAAATTTTAATTTGTTTTATAATTATATTATCAATGGTAAATAAATAATTTATTTAATATTAATAAATAACGAATAATTAAAATAAAATTACATCAATTAAATTATTTGTTATTAGAACAACCATCGTTTAATATAAAATATTATTACATTTTTTAATTATAATATTTAATACAATTAATTATATTTTCAAATTTTTATTGATATTAATTAATAATAAAAAATAAAATTTAAATTTAAATATTATATAATAAAATCATACCCACCAACAAAAGTTGTATACTTTTTTATTAAAGACAAATGATTAGTAATATAAACCAAAAATAAATAATCAAAATATAAAATAATTAGTTACAACATTTATTGTCAAAGTGAGTATACTTCAGTGGTAGTTATTATATGCTTCTAATCAAGATATTGTGAATTTGAATTCCCTCCCCAACATGTTTTACTTAAAAAAATAAAATTACAAAAATTATTGAGATTAGTGGTATTATTAAGTAATTCTAATAAATGTGCCAGACACACAAAATAGAGAACGCGAATAGAATTGATAGGGATGTGTAGTAGATGAATGAGATTATGAATTAGATTACCAAGTTTTGTTAAGCAATCAATTTTTATTATTATTGTTATATTTTTTATTTTTCTTTCTTCATTATCAAACATTAAATGATGATATCCACGGTATGGGTCTTCATGACTTTAATTATTTTCCATTCATATATCAACGCTAACTTGAAAAGTGCTTATTACGTTATAGTTTGATCATCTCGAATCTATAATTATTCAACGGCCAAAAATTAGATAGTATATAATTCGACTTCAAGTGTTAAATTAAAAGTCGTGAAAGTCCCAACATTCAATTATGTTCAATTATTTAGAAAACAATAATAGTGGAATTATGTTAAATTATTCAACAAACAAAAATTAGTTAATATATAATTTTAGATAATTTAGGCATAGTTCAACTGATTAATACAATATATTATTGTTTGAAATATTGTAGGTTCGAATATTCATCCACACATATCATACATGTGGTACTAACAAAAAAAATATAAATATAATTCAATATCGATACTAAATTTAAAGTCGTGAAATCCTACCATTCAATTATGTTCAATTCAAGTTCTTTTTTTTTAAAGTACAACATGTAGAAGAGGAGAACCGAACTCCCAACCTCTTAATTGGAGATTTATGTCGATTATCGCTCTCTTCCCTTATTTGATAACTTAGAATCATATCTTGGTAATTTTTTGTATGAAGCTCGTCTAAATATTTGAACACAATACTCCGTATGTTTTCTCCCTTCGTTACTGTTCTTTAACTATTGATTTCGTGATTATAACAAATGTCTTATCTATTAAATTACGTTCGTATTGATTTGATCTATAAAAGTGACATATTGATTTTACTATCAAACCAAACATAATTAAAAGTATAATTTATTAACACAACGCTTAAATGAAATTCATAATATTTTTAAATGGTAAAAACTAAATAAACATGGTCATGAAAAACATTTGCCTTTTGTTAATTTTTTTTCAAACAACGCGAACAGAAATTACCTGACCCCACCCAGTAAATTCATGTCCAAACTTATAACTTGACATTTATTTATTAAAATGTTGACCGTGGTACAAATTTGTAAGTTTAATCATAATAACCATCCAAAAAATATTTGACTTTGATTTATTCCAACCCCTTCGTTCAATTTCTTTTAGTTAAATCAAAATATTAAGTTGACTGTTAATTGCTTCGATTATTTGTATGTATTATAAAAACTAGTTGATCCCGTCATTTTAAAATTTACAATATCATTTGCATTTTTTTATTTAATAATCACGTTGATTGGAAACTATTTTATTAATTATATTGGTTCAAACGATCTATTATCGTGAGTTTATATATTTTTATTTGAACAAATTTCCAAATTAATACCAATTTCTAATGTTTTGACTAGTCAGAGTTCAATTCAAATTATAGACAGATGAAAATTTAAGTTTTAATTAAACGACTTTATGTATTGTAAAAATACTAACTTATTATATACAGACTGTTAAACAAATACTGATATGCTTGAATTGAAATGTTCTAAGTTTTCATATAATTTAATTGCTAGAACGAGATTGACTTGCTATATATAATTACATATACACATATTGTATCTTTTTTTAGTACGAATATGGGGTAACCTTTTAGTTGAAAATAGATGTCTTAATCAATTTAGCTATGCTTGATTTGGCTGATTATATTGTATCTAATTGTCAATAAAATTTGAAAAATATAAATAATCAAATTATAGGTAAGTGCTCAAAATATGTTGATGCATAATTTGGGCTGCTCAAGACTCCGACAAATTCGCACCAATTATTAATAACGAAATTGAGAACAGACGTTAACCTGCAAAACAAACAGCACTGAACACTAGTGTGGTGCTGTCACACAGACTTTGATGCCTAAGTTAGAACCGAAGGTTTGTCGAGTATTGAGAATAGGATTTTCAACGTACTTTTAGGTTAAACTTATTGTTGTATTTACAGAGGTTGAATCCTGATGTCCTTAGGAAACATACATTATTGAGCTGTGGACATCTTGTGGGCCAAATATTGAACCAAATGACTTGTAGCAGTAGACTTTCTAATAGTTGAATCTGGTCGGCCAGGACCTTGCGAGGCCCTCAACCTTGATTTCTCATATATAACATATACACACGTATACGTAACTGACTATATTGTATCTTTTTTTAGTACAACATGTGGGATGAAGATTCAGACTTACAACCTTTTAGTTGAAAATAGGTGTCTTAACCAATTTAGCTATGCTCGATTTGGTTGATCATATTATATCTAGTCGTCAATAAAATTCAAAAAATATAAATAATCAAATTATAGGTAAGTGCTCATCATTATTTGAATACGTTGATGCATAATTTAGGCTCCTCAATATTCCGTCAAATTCGCATCAATAATTAATAATGAAATCAGGAATAGGAAAAAACAAACAACACTGAACACCGGCATGGTCCTAGCCATACAAACTTCGATGCCTAATTTAGAACCGAAGGTTTGTCGAGTATTGAGAATAGGGTTTTCAGCATACCATTAGGGTTCAACTTATTGTTGTATTTATAGAGGTTGAATCCTAATGTCTTTAGGAAACATGGCTGTGGACATCTTGTGGGCAAATTTGGCCTACAATAGACTTTCTAGTAGTCGAATATGGTCGGCCGAGATCTGGTCGGTCGGGACCTTGCGGGGCTATGGACTTGATCATGCCTTAGACCTGGTCATGCTTTGGGTTATGTACCTGTGAAGCTCGTCTGTCGGGTCTAGTTTTTGTCTTCCCATAACAAAATCTATTCAAAGTTTTTTTTAGTACAATGTGGAAGTTTAAACTTAAGATCTTTTAATCGTATATTTGGTGTCTGAACTAGTTGATGCTCGGGTTGACTCACTCAAAATTCTTTAATATATATATATATATATATATTTTCACGGACCTACCTCTATACTAGCAATTAATACATATAATTTAGTTGAATCCAAAATAATATGTTAATCTTAAAGCCAATAGAAACAATTTGATTTAAATATAATTCACAAATGCGAACATAACTCGACGATAATTAACATATATATTTAATTAAGAGGTTATGAGTTGGATCCCTTACCCCCACCAAAGTTGAATAAGGAATCTCATGGGTTTGATTGGTAACGTTACAAAAGAAAAACAAATGGAAAAAGGCAAAACGCTCATCATATCTTACTCAATTATTAAATACGAGAGCCGGTCGGTAGATCACGGTTCAAACAGGCCGGTTCAATGAGTTAGTTTTAGTTACAGGTTCAAGTAGAAACACGTGTCGATATCAGGCATGACCACGTGTTGCAACCTCACAAAATCAGAAATTCCAATCCTCCCGCCACTGACACAGAAATCAAAAAAGAAAAAAATTTGCCCCAATTTCCAATTTCCCAATTCCCTCGCTCCAACTTCTCTCCCTCGTTTTCTATTTCCCTCTCGTGTCGCCAATTTTCAGGCTTCCTCTGCAAGATTCAGCGCTCAATCAACGAAGCCACTCACTTCTCCATTTTTTACGCTTCTAAAGATCTTGCTAGATTCTCGCTCACTATCTAGTTCCACGTACTTTTTTCACAGTAGGAATTGCACTTCCACATTCTACTCTCTCTCCTTCTCTTTAGCTTCATTCACTTCTGTTCCGTCGATCTTATGGAAATTGGTCATCCTTGCGAAGCGTTTTTAGGCGTTCAGTTTGTTCTATTTGGATTCAGTCATGTCGATGAGAAACGGGTATCGCATCTTTTTGCTCACTGTTGATTGTAGTAAAAGAATCGATTTGGAGCATGATTTTGTTGTTTTTGTCTTTCTTTCAGGTTCGGTCTAAGCTAATCAGTGGCGGCGGGGTTGACGCTGGTCAGTATGGCCCGAGTTGCACTCATGTGATCGTGGATAAGGATAAGATTGTTTATGTACGTCCTACTTTGTTTCCAAGTCAATTCGAAAATTAGCTTTCTAATTTCACGATTATTGTGTACCTATTTGGGATCTTACACTGGGATAGTGCCTTGTGAGTTGTGAATTTAGTTTCACCGTTACTATGTATGTATTACAGGATGATCCTGTTTGTGTTGCTGCTCGAAATGATGGCAAGTTGCTTGTCACGGACTTATGGGTTGATCATAGATTCGATTCTGGGTTGCTCGCGGATGCTACGTCGGTGGGTTTTCTACTAATTATCTATGTCATCTTGTTTTTGTTTAAATTGGAAACGATTTTTATTCGTCTCAATGGTTCTTGAACATGGGTCACACTATGGCAGATAACATAAGTAAAGGTCTCCTAGCTTTCTCATGCCAATGCTATTGGGTGTAAGCTTTTAAGTTTGGAATATTGTGACTTCGAAGTCCAAAATGCATGGCTATTAATTGAATGCGATATGAATGCAATTGCCGTAGACGATTATAGTTATGAGCAATACAATTGGGTTTATGGGGGAACAAGAAGTTGCTTGCATAAAATGTCTCTTGATAGTTAAGAGCGTGTCTTTTAGTCTCAACTTTTGTTATCAGCATACTTATAGGTCTTTATTGTTAGCCTTTTAACAGGTATTGTACAGACCCTTAAGAGATCTGAATGGTATCCCGGGTGCTAAAAATTTGACCATGTGCTTGACTGGATATCAGCGACAAGACAGAGATGATGTTATGGTACTAACTATGCACAGTTCTCTTTTCTCTTTTCTTGACCACCGGTTAATTTTTTCATGTTACAATTTTACAATTTGTGTCATGTACTTCGTAGACAATGGTTGGATTGATGGGTGCACAATTCTCCAAGCCATTGGTGGCGCACAAGGTCACCCATCTCATATGTTACAAATTTGAGGGTATGTCTATCTTGATTCTATGTGCTTTGATACCCATCCTTGTTAAGTGTTTATGTGGTACTTATTAATTATTTTTCAAGTGGAGCAAAGATTTGATGTTAGTGGAATTTTGCTGAATATTAGTATGATTTATAATGTTTAGTTCGTTCATATTCCATTCAATAAATGATATCCTTTCTTTTTTACCATTGATTCTTCTGATGCATACTATTAATATAACTGAATTTAATTAAAATCTGAAGTTGATGGTTGTGAATTATTTGATACTTTGGGGAATGTGGGAATGCAGTGCTAGGCTTCCTATCTATGCATGACTTTTATTCAACCATATAAATGACTATGGCTTGTTTTATGTCGAGTTCATGCTAGTTTGTTCAAATAGTTTGCTAGATTATCTAGTTAGCCATAGGCCCATAGCTTATGTGCATTTGTCCATATTTGTTTGTTCCAAAATCTTAGGGGAAAAATTATGGCTGGGAAGGCTAGTTATACGTAATCAATATTTGGATTATGCAAGTAAATGAGTTATAAAAATATGGTTTTGTGTAACGTGTTTGATTGGTAGGTTCATGATTTCAAGAAGTTATCACATAGTATAGATTATAGAAAGTGGATTTTATAAGCCTTGATTTAACATAGGTTTATAGAGCCCATGAGATTAGTAAGCTTGTAACGTGCAGTAAGAAAACTTCAATACTAAATATGGGTTCAACTTCTTAACATTGAATTACACAAATTTTTTAGCGAGACAAACACCTCTTAGAAGATTGTTGCTGCATCCTTGTGTTTTTTTGGCTATTTCATTATTCAATTTCTCAAAGAGAGAAGAATAATGGTAAATACCATGTACAGGGGACAAATATGATCTTGCTAAAAGGCTGAGGACCATGAAGCTTGTCAACCATCGTTGGCTGGAAGACAGGTACTTTTTATTTATATTATTGTGTTGTTGGATCCTATAATATCAACTGATTTTCATCTGCTCTATGAACATTAAGGTCTCTCTCTCTCTCTTTTTTTTTCTTTGACTCGTATCTTATTTCTCCTCAGCTTGAGGGAATGGACGCTACTTCCGGAATCTAATTACAACATGAGGTATGTGGGTTCACTGTCTTGCCATAACGCATGAGAATCTTGTGAACACTGCATTGAACTTGTTGTGCCTTTCACAATTGTGCTACAACCTACAGTCTATACTCTATTATGGTAGACTGTAATGATCAAAATTAGTTGTCTCCATGTCTGCCAACCAGGGAGTGTTCTCTTATAAAACCTTGGGGCATAGTTGGTGCGGCCCGTTGCCGTTTGTTCTGTAGTCAACGGTACCCGTTGTGTGGAATTTTCTACCTCTGTTTAAACAGTCAGGGATCTGAATTCTATGATGTCATTTCATATTCATGTTTTTGGGGAATACCAATTGGGTTTCTGTAATCTTTTATGAAATTACCTTCACCTAGTAGGAGAGAGGATACCACCTTTTTTTTTTTGAAAATTGCAGACTTTATTGTTAGGTTTAGCTTATTGGGATGCTAACTGAAGTATGCTTCCGTTTGTTTATGGTTTGTCTATTGAGGCATCGCTTTTTTGATAAGTTAGTGAGATATAACAGCATATGGAAATGCAATCTCTGTTCTGACATTTTTGAATTATGAATTCCGGGCGTCTCTCCAAATATTTGTACTATGTTCTTCTGCATGTTAGCCTGCTGATTAAATGATGTTCACTGAATCTAATCCATCTATGTTCTCAATTCTCTCTCATTTCTCCACAGTGGATATGACATGGAGACGTTTGAAGCTGAAGCTAAGGATTCTGAAGACGAATCTGACAGTGGCATCACAAAACATTTTGCAAGGAGAAACACAAAGAGTCCTAACACCATGAAATTTGGTTTGCATTCAACCAGTGAACTATCTAATACATCGCCAGCTGCAAAAACATTGGATGATCGTGCAAACATTGTTGATCCCAAGAGCATGTCGACGGTTCCTACTACTTATAGTAAATTTATTCCTTCCGGAAAATTTGATAAGCATGATGCCATTGGGGTGCCTACTTGTCAGGAAGCTGACGTCTTTAGTAATTCTTGGTGTTCTGTGCCGTCTGATATGAATATTAAAACTTCTGAATCTGAGAAGCAGAAAGTGAAAAATGAGGCAGTGTCACCTCAATTAAATGCAGCTAAGTCCCCAAAGCTATGTGCAACAAGTTACTCTAGGAAAACCCCATTGAAGTCGCCACTTCCACTGTTTTCAGGAGAAAAATTGGACAAAGCAGTTGTCTCCTCTAAAATGGCTGTAGGTGAAATAAAAGACAATATTGGTGTTGATGCAGCTTTTACAAAGATAGAGCAAGTGAAGGATGCAACATTTTCTGGCTACGAGCAAAATTCGTTGAGGGGAACTGATTTATTTGGTACAGGAGATTCAAATGCTAGATTGCCTCTGAACATGATTTCAGATGTGTCTTATGATGTCTCTCCATCTCATAAAATGAGTGTGGATACAAAATCATGCACCGTGAATAATCTCTTCATAGATGAAAATATTTTAGGATTGGAAATGAAAAGTGTTTCCTTAGACAACGACAAGTCAAGTGAGTGTCATGCTACAAACTTGCAGAATAGTAGGGTTATTACCGACACCTTTAATACTATGAAGAAACCATTGACATGCGACTCCCCTTACAGCAAGAGCATTCTCTCTCCAACTGAGGATGTGGCTGAAGACGGCAAGAAGACCCCTCGAACATCATTCCAGGTATCAGAAAAAGACATTTCACCTGACAAGCCTGACAAGCTAAATCATTATTATGAGATTGCTGGAGATGTGGTTGGAAAACCTGAAGAAACAGATAAGCAGCAGAATGGTGTTTTGGCTACATCTGAAAGTGATAGAGGTACAAAGGCGAATAAATCAGCTTCTCCAACTCATTTAAAAATTTCTACTGTTCAAAAGAATGACTCACAATCCAAACAACATAGAATCAAGATGTTTGCCAAAAAGAGTTTAGGTTCTAGACCTAAGTTGGGCAGTGCCAATCGCAAGGGTTCTATTCTCTCGAATAAAACCAGTTCCTTAAATGATTCTGTTTCTTCATCATGTGGGAATGATGAAAAATTCTTCAGCTCATCTCCTAAAACTGTCAATACCGGAGTAAAAAAGGTTGCGGAGGCAACAGATATGGGGGATATTTTTCATAAGTATGAAGCCATGGACGAGGATGATAAAACTGTAGATCAAGAAAATAAAGAAGCAGATTTTGAGCAAATGATTGACGATGAGAACTATAAGGAGGTTCGGTTAACAAGTGATGTGGACAAGCTAGCTAAAGAGACTGCATCTGGTGTGAAATCTAACAGTAAGAGTAGTGTGCTTGATGATACGATTCCCTCAGGTATAATAAAAGAAGTGATTGAACCAGGGGAACCAGTTTCCATCAGGAATATACAACTGGATGAATTAAGAGTAGAAGATGATGAAAAATCAAAATTGGATGCAGGGGATAGAGGTCCCATGGAAGAAACAACGTTGATAGACCCTTCTAAAATGAAATCGAAACATGGTAAGGTTGGTAAAGCACCCCGTAAGAAAGTTGAGACGAAAGGGAAAAAGAAATCTCAGTTGGTTGCTGCAGGGCCTAATACTGAAGTCCATACTACACCTGATTATAAGTCAGAGAAGGAAAATGAACCATGTGATGAAGGTGATAAAACTGGTGATCTTGTCAATCACTGTTTGGATAAACCTACTGTCAAGTCTAATACAAAGCAAAGAAAGACCACTAAAAAATCTCGAGAGATCAGTGCTAATTCTTCCATGGCAGTTGAAGAAGTTTTGAGAGAAGTAAAACCTGAACCTGTATGTTTTATCTTGAGTGGACATCGTCTAGAAAGGAAGGAGCTTCAGAAAGTAATCAAGCATTTGAAAGGAAGGGTTTGCAGAGATTCTCATCAGTGGTCATATCAGGCAACACATTTCATAACCCCTGATCCAGTCCGTAGAACTGAAAAGTTTTTTGCAGCTGCAGCATCTGGAAGGTAACATGTTACTTCCGTCAATTGTCCTCTTTTAGATGCATGAATTTCAAAGATTAGGGAAAGCAGTGATGGAAGTACTATCTATTTTGTGTTTTCATGCAAGAAATTTAAAAGTCACTTGCTGTATATTACTTTCTAACGACTTAGTATACGTAAAAGATCTGAAGCACAGGGTGTTACGGTGCAGGTGGATTCTCAAATCTGATTACCTAACAGATAGTAGTCAGGCTGGAAAACTCTTGAAGGAGGAGCCTTACGAATGGTACAAGAACGGCCTCACCGAAGATGGTGCAATCAATTTGGAAGCTCCAAGGAAGTGGCGGCTGTTGAGGGAGAAGACAGGTCATGGTGCCTTTTATGGAATGCATATCATCATATACGGGGAATGCATTGCTCCACGTCTGGTACGTCAGTTTGGAAGTTTCAAAATTTGCTACATTACAACCACTTAATCTGTAATGCTCCTTTCAGATATTTCTAGTGAAAATAAGTGGTTTTTTTGGACATATAACATCATCTGCTAACCATGGAACAGGATACTCTCAAGCGTGCTGTTAAGGCTGGAGACGGGACAATACTAGCCACATCTCCACCTTATACCAGATTCCTAAAGTCTAGAGTTGATTTCGCTGTTGTCAGCCCTGGCATGCCACGTGCTGATATGTGGGTCCAAGAGTTCTTAAATGATGAGATACCCTGTGTAGCGGCTGATTACTTAGTGGAGTATGTCTGCAAACCTGGTTACCCTCTTGATAAACATGTACTTTACAATACTCATGCGTGGGCGGAACAATCTTTTAGCAACCTCCAGAGGAGAGCAGAAGAAGTTTCCGTAGACTTGAGCCCACGGGATGATTGTAGTAGTGATAACGATATAGCCTGCCAAGAGTGTGGATCCCGAGATAGAGGAGAGGTGATGCTCATTTGTGGCAACGAAGATGGTTCAAATGGTTGTGGAATTGGCATGCATATAGATTGCTGCAATCCTCCATTGCTGGATATTCCAGAGGGTGATTGGTTTTGTTCAGACTGTATTAGTAGTAGAAACAGCAACAACTCTCCAAATAAAAGGAAAAAGGGAGTCTCGGCAAAGAGGAAGTGACTTTAGATTTTGCATAATAATTTTAATTATCAGGAAAGTTTTTGATCTAAATCTTGTATATTTCCATCTTGCTTGAACGAATGAAGCTGATTGTGTTCTTCCAGGTCTTTTAGTCTGGAGAATTTCCTCAATTGATGATCGTGCTGCCGTTTGAATCTCTTTCTCCAATCACTCAGGTTTGGAACTTATTTACTCTGCACGCAGTAAATTTTCATATTCCATTTGACAATGAGTTTAGTATAGAAAACAATATGGCGTGGCTTAACCAATTTGAGTATAGTCAACTGGTCAAGACACTTATCTTTGATTTAAAAGTTTTTAGTTTGAATCTCTACTCTCACCTTATACTAAAAAAGAATAAAGAATGACGTGACTTAAGATTTATGTTAAATATATCGTGAAAAGAATCAAAATGAAATAGATAAACTTACCATTAGAACTTTTGAGGATTGACATAAGATTTAGTTTTATGTTTGCAGTGAAATAATAATTTGATATCTACATGGGGAAGTTACTTAGATTTTGCAAAATAATTTTAATAATGTTTTGTTCTCAATGAAGTTGTTGTTCTATTGTTATGTGGAAATTGTTTCTTGGATTAACTAGGGTTTATTTGAAAGAATGTGTGAATAGTGAATGGTGCTTTTTTGCACATTTTCCTGTACTTTTGTATCATCTGCTTGCAATTTCTTGAAATGGCCATGGCTAGACTAGCACAGAAAAGACAATAGGCTTTTCCAGGATTGCTATATGGAAACTTCTTGGGCCCCATTACCCTTTAACTCTTTCATCATATCTTGCAGACCCTCTCTCAATTAAAGCAAATTAAAATAGGTTTGTTGTCACAACTTGATGTTAAATGTATGTGAAGTGACCTCATTTTTTTCTAAAGTTAAAATATGAAAGTCTTGCAGTGCAATATTTAAAATGAAAATTAGATGGTTATGGTGAAGGGATCAACTTTTTTTTTTTTTTTTTCCTTTCAATAATTATATTAAAGTATGGGTAGCTGTCAATTTGAGACATTTGCACTGATTTTCATTGTACTGAGTTGCTTCTCCTCTAAATGAGGGTTTTTACCATGATTATTTTTATGTAAAATGTGGGTTTTAAAACTGTTTTAATTTTTTTTTTGTCATCATTTATCTCACATTTGCTTGTTACATTTGAAATCCATTATCAATTAAATGAAAAAAAATTAACGCTTCCAATGAGATTATTATTTGAATGCTAACTTTATCGATGTTCATTTTTATTGAGATATTTTTTGAGTTCAATATGTAAGTGGGAATTGGATGATGTTTTAACTAGTTTAGTTATATTCAAGTATTGAATTATTTATGTTATATATTTTTTAGTACGAATTCAAGCTTTTGAACATTTGATCAAGGATGTTTACTTTAACCAATTGAGTACATGCAATTTGTGTTTATTTATGTTATACATGAATAAGTAAATGTGATTATTATTTTCGACCTAGAGCTTCTGCTTATTCATACGTAACTGAATATTTCTATTAAAAAATTAATTTTAGTTGCATTTGGCTTTTGAGTTATGAAATATGAAAATAAGATACAAATATATCGATGATTCGAATTTTTGTCTTTTAATTTAACCAATCTTTTTAATGTAACATAAAAATCAAATATAACTAAAGAATAGTATTACCATTGCAACATGTTAAAAAATACATATTTTCTGCCAACAACTACGGTTTTCCAACATTCTGAGCCAAAAAGGATGCTCATTTTTTTAAAACCTTTCCCCCTGTTTAAAGCTGCGAGGAAAGGAGGGGTAAAAAGTAAAAGTGAAAAAACAAATCCATCACTAGTGATGGGAAAAGAGGGGTAAAAACTTTTACCCGCCTCATTCATTCATCTACTCGGAGTTCCAAGTACAATTCAGACATGCTCAGTTTTCTTTTCGACAGTCATGGAAGACCATCCTTGTTCTTGTGTTCCTTTGAGCAACATTAAAATTACAAACATTTTGAAACATTTCTTTATTATTTTTTACAATGTTTTGCAAATAATAATGTTGTTTCAGGGCATTCGATACTCCTATTCCATATCAAGATCAGGATCTAACTTTGAATATAACAAATTTAAAAAAGTAATTATAAGTATTACACTGAGAAACGATTATTATGATTTATCCTAATCAACAACTTAGGGTTCMTTTGATAACTATTTTAGTTTTTTATTTTTGGTTTTTCTTGTTTTTAGTTTTTGGTTTTTTGTTTTTTAAAAACAAAAATCATATATGTTTGATAATCATTTTTAGTTTTGTGTTTTTAAAAAGTTAGAAAATTGAAAATACATATTAGAGGGAGAAAATTTTATGTAGAGTAGAGATGATATGAGTGCAAGTGAGGATGTTCTCTCTCATTCTCGGGCTCGTGAAAATTTTTAGTCTGTCTCCATCTCGTTCTTGGTTTCAAGAGATGTACTCAAGAAAAATTATTGGTTTTATAAATGTTTTTATTTATTTTTAGAATTTAAATATAAAAAAGTGTAATATATATATTAATTATTTAAAAAATGGAATCGGGGACGAGGTCGAGACATGCATTTTATATGTTTGGGACCCCGACCCTATAGAAATTTTTGTCTTCCCCTAACGTAGAGACATGAAAATAGAGATGCAAATAAACTTTTGGAAGATAAATTTTAGAGAGATAAATAAAAATATTTAGAAAAAAATTAGTGAAAGAAAATTTAAATACAAAAAGAGAAAAATTATAGAGAAAAAAATAAAGTCAGAGGAAAAGATATGTTAAAGAAAAAAAAATTATAAAGAAAGAAAAAAAATTATAGTGGAAACAAATTTAGAGATAAAAACAAGATTCAAAATATAATTTTTATATAAAATAAATAAATACAAAGATAAATAAAAGTTACTTAAACAAGAAAATAAAATATAATTTTTAGAACAAAAAATAGATTATGGAGAGACATAAAAATTATAAAATATTAAATTTTAGGAAAAATATTAAATTTTTAGAGAGATAAATGAAACTGACCTGTTAGAAAAAAAACAAAAATACAGAAAAGTAGAGACAAATAATAATAAATATTGAAGATATGAAAATTTTAGAGAGATAAAAATAAAGTTTGGAGAGAGATTTAGAAATAAAAAAATTTTAGAATGAAAAATACATTTTTTTTAAGATAAATACGAGAAAGAAAAAAAAGTTAGAGTATTAGGAGAAGAAATGAGATTTTGAAAAACAAAAACTTGTTTTTGAAAACTAGTTTGAAAAATAAAAAAACAGAAAATTGAATTAATTATCAAACAGCCCAGGTTTTTAAAAATTAAAAACAAAAAAAGAAATGGTTATCAAACGGACCTTAATTATAATTCAGACATTGGTGCAAATAATCACAATAATCCGTGATTATTTTGATGAATGTTAAATTACAAATGACTATTTTGATTTATGCTAAATTATAAGTTTTATTCATGAAGTTTGATGGTTATATGTATTTAGTCTCTTAATTTTGATGATATTGTCTGTGACTAATCATAAATTTTCATTATAATTTAAAATCGTATACGTTGTTCTTATTAAAATTGTTATTTAAATATCAATGTGACACGTAACGAGTGATAATTTAAAGAGTCAACTAAGTAGATGAAATATGAATGAAGATGAGAATGAGTAATTCCATTTATACCAAAACTTTACCGAGGTAATCATTTACTCAAAGACTATGCTCATATCATCTTTTAAAGAAATCATATACCTAAAAACCACTTTAATGTTTACAATTACTTCAAAACCAACTTCTCTTCAATATTTCTTTTTTTTTTTTTTAAATTTATTTCCAAAACCCATTTATATATTTATATATGTTTAAAAAGCCCCTTCAGATCTCATACAATTCAAACAACCTTAAAAAAATACACAAAGAAATGAATTTAAAAACCCACACACATTCTTTATATAGTTTGAATGAAAGTCTCTCTCTTTTTTTTTTTGGAATGATTTGAATTTCTGCAATGTGAAAGGAATTTGTCGGATCTTCCCATTAAACCAACCAGCTCTGTTTTTGACCAAAACCCACAATAAACCCCTCAAAAACCCATTATTATTATTTTTTTTCAGAGGGAAAAACGTCTGAAGAGAGAAATAGAATATATATATTTTGTTAAAATACAAACTTAGTTCCGTATTTTCTAAATTTCTCAAAACTTTAAAAATTTATAAATTTGCATAGTACTCAATAAATCTCCAAATTATCAGTTTATTAACATAAAATTAAAAGTTCAAAGACATAATAAACATTTATTATATATATATATATATATTTTGAAAGTAGATATTAATTAAATATGAATACAATTTAAAGAGAGAACGAATAATTAATTAAAGTAATATTTTGTTTAAGAGAGAGAAAGAGAGGAGAGAGAAGCACATGAGATGATAGCATCCACATGGTGCGACTGACATCATCATATCTGGCCACGACCTCCAATATTCGTAACATTCAAACATCACGTGTTTGTTTTCCCCAATTCCATAAAAACTTAATTTATTAAAATTAGAAAAAAGAAAAAAAAAACCCTCACTCTTTTGTCTCAATGTTAAATTTCTCTCGACATTTTCACCTTCGGTTTGATATCGACGTGATGGATGAAACAACGTTTTCATAGTTAAAAAAAAAAATAGACAAGATATAAAAGATATCATCAAAATATCTCTAATACAAATATCATATTAATACTAATAATTTCTAACTTATTTAATTATTTAAAAATTGTGAAAGGTTTGAAAATCGATTTTATGGTATAGACGCTTATGACTTCTCATTCTAGGCCCTTTCGCATCAACGACCTTTAGCACAAGATGCTGTCTATAAATCAAATTATATTGTGGATTGAATTTTACTTGAATGTCTATGGCTCCATTGCGTGGACTCGAGTTATTTGTTAATTTAAATATTTGTTTTAAATTTTTTTATTTTATAATTTTTTAGAAGTGCTTATCAATATCAACATTTTATGAGATAATCGACATTTAAAACTTTATCATCCCCTCGTGAGAAACAATGCTTCGCCGCAAGAAAAATACAATATGCTTTCTAGGGAGGAAATTTTGTAGGTTTAATGTTTAATAAGTTGTTAATTAGCAAAATTAACTATTTTTCTTTGAGATAAGTATATTTGAATTTGAATGGACATTTATCCCAAAAGCTGATAAATTTGTGAGATTAGCAGATTTAAATAAGGCAAAATAAGCAAATTTGTATACCAAAGGAAAATTTATATTTAAAATTTGTGGGAATTAACAAAAAGAAAACAAATGAAAAATGTCAGAGAAGTGGTTGTTTTAATAATTACAAAAAATTAATTCTAGTGGCTCTCTTATTTGGAAGATTTCAAAACTTTGAAGTTTGTGATTGCAATGTGCAACCCATATTTTTCCCCTCTCTCTCTCTCTCTCTAGACTCAAGATTTTGACATTTTAAGACCAACATTTTGGCAGCATTTAGCAGCATAGCTGTGCCCAATTCCTTCAACCATTTCCACAAAAAATGAAGAAAAAAAAAAAAAAAAAATGAAAACTTTATTCTGCCAATCCAAACAGCACCACAATTTAATGTCTTTTTTTATTTATTTTCCATAAAATTTAATGGAAGTGGGTAATGGCAGAACCAGAAACAGTCCAAATGCAGCAAAGCAATAAGCACATCTACATATAAAATACAAAGTTTTTGGCTATGGATAATCATTACAACATGTTATATTTTTTTTGTGTAAAAAAATGAAAAAAAGGGAGAAAAAGAAAAAGAAAAAGAAGGAAAGAAAAAAGAAAAAGAAAAGAAAACCCATTATATATATATATATACAAGTTATTCTAAAGGGAATTTGGTTGAGAAAAAAACTTTGCTTAAAGTTGATGTGTAGAGAGATGAGATGAGATGGATAAGAAGAAGACATGTGCAATAGAGTCAATTTAAAGGATAAAATTCAAATCCAACTCTTAAAGACTATTAGATCTCTCTTGCAAGTAAAGATAAGACTTGACTTAAAGAAGATCAAAAGATGCTATAATTTATTTCTTTGTATCAATTTTTTTTTTGGGTTAGAGAGGGTATTTGCAAAAGCGAGTAATTAGATTTTCGTCCTTGAACTTTTGTGTATGTATTTGTTTTGATCGTTAAGTTAAACTTAAAATTATCTTAGTTTGGTTCTTACATGATGTGAGAGCGTTCGTTTTTAAGTTATGTATCAGCTTATTCGATGTATATGACTTAATACATTGTCCAGTTTAACATATTATAAGATGTTATGATAGAGGACATGTAATTTATATAAATAGGGGTGTTATAATTGACAAGATCACTGTATTAATTTAGGAGTTTCCCTCGACGTCATTGAATGAGGTTGAAGATGTTGTGACTTGGCTAAAATTTATTCATCTTCCTAGTTATTTGAACAAGACAAGCTGTTTTATTGGCCAAGCGTGTAATTTCTGATTGTTTCTCTGTCCTTTGGGATAATTGTTTTCCTTTGTGGATTCCGAATGTGATGGGTGGTTGACTGGGCGTTTATGCTGAACGCACGCACTAAGCGTGGTAACAATTATATAGATGCAAGCGCACACCTGTCAGAGTAATATAAAATGGATGGAGTATCCAAGTATCGATCCTCAAGGACTTCTAAATAATTTCCAAACTCTAAAGTTTTAAAGAATAGTGAATGTTGAAATGAGTGATTCTTGTAAAATGGGAAGTGGTCACAAATAATGGTTTTGGATTTGAGATTTGGACTTATAATGATAAAACCTAGCCCGAATTACTTCCAAGTTAGCCAACAAAGAATCAAGGATATGCTAAGGACGATATGCATTTTACTTTAGGAACCAACGACTACGCTTTTCACTTGACTTATGTCTAAGCAAGTTCAAAGTCCAAAGACATTCCCTAATATGTCTATTATGAGAGATATCTTAGTTTTAGGATGGAAATAGTCGCAACCTCGGGTTAAGGT